TGGGGCAGGGGGCTAAAGAGAAAAGAATTACGCTCAACATAGAAAAAGGGGAAATCACAAATTGCCAGAGGCCGGCCAAATAATTTGCTACTTTGGCTGCGTACAATGACTAGACTTTGCGAACGTGAAAAATTAAAAGTAGCAGAATGGTACGCGATTGATTCTAGATCTGTGGTAGCAATTTCAGTTTCAATGCACTTAGCCAGGAAGAAAAAATTGCAGATCCAGGATCTGATGGCTTCAGGGCGAAGGGGGCTGGTCCGGACCCCAGACGACAGTCCAACCCCCTTCTGCCTAGATCCACCACGACCAATACACTTTCAGGGAAAGTTAATTTACGGTGAAGGTATACCAAAATTGCTTTAATTTGAGAAATACAAAATTAAAGACATATGGAAATTAATACCAACCCTTTTGAAACGTGATGACAAATTTTATTTTCATGCTTCCACTGAGAGCACTTGAAATAATATTCTATATTTAATAAACTAGGAATATCTTATAAAATTGTTCTATTCAAGTTAGAGATTTTGTTCTAGTTTTTTAGTGAGCGGAAAAATATGTTCACTTGCTCAATTATCTCCTGTTCAAATGATAATTCCCATTTCTTTAGAATTCTATTCCGTGTAAGCGAGTATTGGACACCAGCGTCGATGCAGTCAGCGCGAAGAAGCGAGAAGCTAGAAAATAGAAAAAATACTCCTCCGCTGCCCTCTAACTACCCTCACGCTTCTCGCTCACTATTTTTGCGTTCTTTGCACTTCGCGTTGAGAAATAGAAGGGCTGTAAACAGACTACAACGAAAACCTCTTGGGCCTTTCAAGGTTACACTAGAACGATTCTGGATACTTCTACAAGGAAAAAAAAAGGAGAAAACTTTACAAACAAATTTACCAACGAGCCCCTTAAATCGGCGAGCAAACATTAAGCTGCCAATACACCTGTCTCTTCACATGCTTTTATGCTGCATTCATGAGACTAAAAGACTGTATCTGCGGAAGACACCTAAGCTAAAGAATTACAGTCTGCACAGGGCGCAAGTCCCATTTCCCGCCAATCCTTATTACATATGCATGGCGCTTCATTGTTTTATGCGTTGCAATCACGTCATAGCCACGTGGCATTCACGAGCCGGAATCCGCTTTATCATCTTCACTAATATCACCATCATATTCTTTCTCTTCCTCAACCATTGGTCGGCTGTGATCACGTGTTTGGACTTTGCGAAGGGTTGAACGGTCGAAGTGCTGAATAAAGAGCTGCAAAAACAAAATTATACCTAACAGTGAAGGATAAGGCCTCATACGAGTAAAAGAAGGGGCATAATGGGTAACAGAGCGCGGAGAGGCGAGGAGAGGTCAGGTTAGTGCACCAATAAATACATCGTAACCAGGATCGCACTCCATGTGTATCCTGAATCGAGATTAAAGTCATCCACGTCTTAGAATCTAAAGGTCTCTAGTGGCCACCTCTGAAAATATGTTCACAGAAACAACGCTTGAAACAAAAGCAAACTCTGGATGGCGAATTAAATCTACCATTTCTGTTCAAGACTGAACGCAGGTTTGTATTTGAATGAATTGTGTTTATTTAAACAACTTATTTAGCACGTTGTACTTTGTGATGGCTAATTGTGCTCTTATTAGGTTTGATCCTGGACAGATCAGAAAATTAAGAGGTGAACACTACGGCTTTGTTGTATTTTGCGCAGTATTGCACGTTGAATAACCCACGAACAGACTTTCTTGTTGGGGGTTTTTGGGCCTACGCCGCTCGTTTCCCTACAAGAATCTCCGCGTTGCATTGCGTCTTACAGGCCAGTCTTCAATCGCCTCAAGGCCCAACAACACATGGCCTGGTTATTCACTACTACTACTACTCTTTGAGCGGGATGTTGACCATATCATAAATTTTTCATATCGTTTTTTTTTTTCTATTTACCTGATGTCTAAGTTGAAGATCAATCAGCGGCGAGCTTTTATCAATCGTCTCGGTCCTCTTTAGTGACGTCCGTCTAAAATAAACAAAGATATCAAACAATATGCTTTAAGGGGGTACTGGTACTTAAAACGCTTCGACTATAATTGTGAAAGTTTTGATCCCAACTAAAAAGTTTAGTCTTCGTAGCAACCTGACTACATCAATATACCCGATAAAAGTTTAGTTGATGTATTAGAGACCATAAATCCAAGCACGTAAAGCAGGCGTATTTCAACGGGACACAAAAGATGAGAAGAAAAACCGAAGCCTTACTTTAACTCGTCCCAGCCCCCGACGATTTGCGAATGAATTACAACGCCCAAAAAATAAACTTTTAGTGCAGTAGACCTTTCTCACATTCCTGTAAACAAAGGCACCAACTCGAGGCTCGGTGGACAAAATACAGTGATTTGTATGAAATTGCCCACCCTAGCCTAGTCCTCATTTCTTAATGTTTGCTCATTGCAGCGTAATGCGGGAAAGGTCAATTAGACACCCGCCTTTCACACTTTGCAATAAATAATAAAGAAAGGCTTTAAGCAAGACAAGTCGTCACTGTTCCGTGAACAACACTTGAGCCTCTTAGGGTGGATTTCCACTGTCGCGTAATTTTTACGCGCGCTAATAAAATAGAGGCAATGTATGCCGCAAAGGCCGCGCGTAAACGTTATAGTTGAGCGAGGTTCAACTTTAACGTTAACGCGCGACCTTCCATAAATTGCCTTTACTTTATTTACGCATGTGCCAACACATAAAAATTACGCAACAGTGGAAATCCACCTCGTCCACGTCCGTATGTGAACTCACTCACAGCCAAGAAAAAAATTCAACATTGCAACACTCAACCGGTGAACTATGGAACACGCTTAGTATACTTTGTATGCCTTCGCGTTCGACAAAGGAGGACGCATCGTAATCCTCCTCTTCACACTCTCCTTGTTTGTTTGTTTGTTTCAAGGGCCTTTTTTTTCGGTAGGGAAACTGATAAGTACATTGTTCTCTGTCCTGGAACTGGTGATCTTCACGGGTAATTCTTGGTCGAACTTTCCACCCATAGCTCTACTTTAATCTGTGGTACGATCACGTATTCTAAAACAAATCATTCACAGAGGAGCTGGCATGTCGACAACGCAGTCAGGTACCAACTTACCTGTCAAAAGATTTGACAGCTTTACTGATGTCTTGCAATCGCTCAACGTCTCCTCTTTCCAATCTTTCAAACAGTTTGTTCAATCTTTCCTGCTTTGACAGTGACTCGTCACCGGGTTCATCCGTAACCGCTGAGCTCCGAGTTGAACTTGGAGGACTGGTAACAGGCATGGGATGTTTCGCGGCAGCATTTGTACCGACATAGATTGGCACTGAGTTTGAGCGAGTCTTTGACTTGGAGGAACTTAGATCTTCATTAGCTATAGTTAAAACAAAGAGGAAAAGTGTTAATGTAGTTAATACAACTGTTCACAGAAATCAAAATGCAGGGAAAATTATAATAATCCTCTTGTTGGTCAGCAAAATACAAGAATAGACTGTACCAGAAGAATTTTTAAGTCTTTTCCTTCTCGTACAATCTTAAAATCCGGCTGGAAGAACCACACACTCACTTGGCTTATGTGAAGTATAACTGCTGTAGCTCAGTCTTTTTGTCCGAGCATTGAAGCTGATCCCTTCCGCTTGATCCAGAGCACGTATCACATCATCGCGCTGGAAAAAAAACAGCAGCAAAATTTTATAGTTACAAACGAAATCTAATAAAGGGCGCTTTCCATTTTTTCATTCCCGTCGTAATGAGAATCATACAATTTTAATCAAAACTATCCAACCAGATCAGTCAAATGTTACATAGTATGCTCGAAGGAGAAGATTTTCAGCCAAAGATTTTCAGAAAGCCTCTTTTTTTTTTTAAATGACTAGTCTGGCCTTAAGCTTGCTTTTGCCAATCCAAATAGCCAGTCAGAAGTAAACCAAAGTGACCATTAAAATGAAAGCTCCTAAGCGCTTCATAGCATTGGTTATTTTATATTTGACCTGGAAAGGTCAACTGAATGAAACGTGTAGCAGCTCGTTTCTAATCAAGAAACATAACTTTTCAATTAGAAAATCTGGTCAAGAATTACATGAGCGTATTGTAGAGGCGTTAGTTCTCGCTTGTTCCTCATTGTCACTGATGCACCATTTTCCAGCAGCAAAATAACGAGTTTTACAAGGTTAAACCTGAAAAAAAAAAGAGACAAACCGAAACAAGATTGTCAAAAGTAAGCAGTGGCAAATGGAGACCTTAAGATATCCCTTTTCCGGTGTATGAATAAGGACAGGCTGCACCTTACCCCGAAGAAACTGCTACCGTGTACATTAAAAACCTGTCTCCTACACGCAGGGTTTGCGGTTAAATCTTCAAGTACCGGATGGATGGATGATTCGTCGGTGAAAAGAGCGGAGGTGGGCGCCTTTAGCGCGAACAAAAGCACTAAAGGATCGAACCTCTAGGGGGTTCGGGGGGGGGTGAAAATTGGACTCTCTAATACGCCACTTTCTGAAATCCTTTGACCAGAAATGGTTAACCGTTTACCCTTCCAATGTATTAAAATAATCAATCAATCAATTAATAAGTAAAATTTGAGTTGGAAATTATGATAAATATAAATCTACAGGTGTCCGTCCGTTTTTATGCTTAGACGGATTTTATGAGTTACAAAAGGGAGCAAAATAAGGCGGTTCAACTCTTTCTTTGATAAACCGAGAAACAATATTATCCAATTTATCAGAAAATAATTATTTCGTATGGAATTACCGTCCTCATATGTCAAGCCTGCCTTAAAAAAAGCCTCCGCTACCCAACTGCGTAGGCAAAAACGGCATGTACTATGACCCGGAACACGGGAACACTCTCGAAAGAAATCGGAAACCCTGGTAATAGGTGAAACGCAAAAGGCAAACAGAAACCCTAACCCTAACTTGAAAAATATTGAATTTTGTTTCTGATTGTCTGGGTTTTCTTTTTATTATTTGACGTGTTCTAGACCCGTGTTACAGGGTGTTCGGAGTTCCCAGTTTTATTCCATGCTGGTAGAAACAACGTATCCTTAAGGTTCCTATTTGAGTCACTGGTACAGAAATCAAGCCAAACAATGAATGTGAATCCTTTACCTCGCTGCCTCATGAAGTGGCGTATTACCACGGTCGTTCGTCACATTTACGCTTGCTCCGTGCTATTTCATTAACAAGAATTAAAAATAATTCGATTATTATATAACAGAGGTATCCTATAAAGAAACTCTGCTAAAGTGTTGATAAGGGAGAGACGCACAAGAATTTAGTCATAGCAAAGCAGTGACGGAGTTTAGCTTATACACTGAACAGAACCAACTACTCGGTAACATTACCCACTTTAAGAAAGTTTGCACTTCACGAGAATAAAACAATAAAAGCCTTCTTTATAGTTAATCCAGTTTTCTGCTATTAAGGAGTAGAAGAACCGTCTGGGTCCAAAGTACGCATACTTGTGTGTCAGCGTGGGTCAATAGTCCAGTTTCGAATTCGTCGCGACGGCTGAATATAAGCACTGAAGACTTATTTATACAGGGTTAGCCTCGACTTACAGAGAAATATTCGCAAATACCGGCGGCGAGAAGGTGCCTGAATTTAAGTTTAAAACAATAGACACAGTTGTACACGGGTCTTCTTCTGACTGAAATTTAAGAATATATTTACCTTAGGTCGAGGCTAACAGTGTATAAATGAGTCTTCAGACTTCTATTCAGCGTCCGCGACGAAATCGAAACTGGACTATTGGTATTCGAGAAGACTGACACATGATAAGTGTTTCCGAAGGGAGTGACGAAGATGATAGTGGACAACTCTTCTGGGTCAACAGTTTTGTTTTAATCTAATTATCTTTTTTTTTCAGTAGTTTCCCTCTCAATAGGCTTATTGCTTCTGTATTCTTATTACCACATCAAATACTATTGTCCACAGGCGTCCGTTCACGTTTGTAAAAGCATACGAAATTCTGCGTTTATGGTTTTGCACATGAAAAAGAGAACTTTTATCTGTTTGTGAAGTCACCCATGTTCGCCCACTAGCCAGCTCCCAGGGCCTTTCCATTGGAAAACGGAAGGGGGTACCCTGGGGACGAAGTTGTTTGCCCATTTGATATATGGACGGAAGCATAAGCTGGTATGCGTTTACAAGTTTAACCGGAACTCCTGTGGATATAGTTTTACTGTACCCCTATAAGGACGTTAGCGGGGTCCACATGTCCGGTGAAGCAACACAGGTGAAGAGGGGTGTTTCCTTTGTAATCTTTGATGTTCACTTTAGCTTGGTGGCTTAACAAAAGACCGGCGACCTAACATGCAATAAAATACAGAAACGGCCATACTTAGAACGATAACAACAGTTAATAATCTACCAATGAATCCTACTAGTCAATGTGTATAATAATGAAAATGATAGATGATAATAATGATGATAGTGATAATAATTACAGTACAATAACATTTAAAGAGGAAGCCCAACTTGCTGTGACGGTTTTCAATGGAGCCATTATGTAGGCCAAAAAGAGTGACCGATTTTTTTCATTGCAGATTTTCACTGTGATTAAGTCCGCGAGTAGTCGTCGTTCTTTCTTCAGGGCAACGCGCAGCGAGCAAAAGTAAAATTATGCAACTCTGAATTAATGGTAAAAAGGGATGAGAGATTGGGACGGAGTGAGGAAACACTTTCTTCGCTCGGACTTCCAGCCTGTTTCCTTACGACTTCGCCGCTCGCTTCTTTCTCGATCTACTTTGGCTCAAAAGAAAACTAAGAGACTGCTTGCAGTGTAACTGTGATTTCAAGTCAGAGCAACTAAGGCCATTGTTACGCCGCAAAATGTAATAATCGCCGCAAAATGTAATAATAATCGCCGCAAAATGTAATACTAACGCAAAATGTAATAACATTGACGCAAAATGTAATAAAATTTTCAACGCAAAATGTAATAATCTTTCAACGCAAATTGTAATAACTTTTCTAACGCATAATGTAATAACGCATAATGTAATAACGCAAAATGTAATAATTTCCGAAATAACGACGTGCATGCTATTTCAAAATCAGTATTGTGGCTTAGTAATCAGTAGCTGATCCAGATCTTCATGTGAATTATTATTATTATTATTCTTATTATTATCAATATTGATCTTAATAATAGTAATAATATTTATTTTCTTCTTCTTCTTCTTCTCTTTATTATTATTATTATTATTATTATTATTAATGAAATAACGGTTGAAACGTCGTGTTACTTCCTTGCTGAGCTAGTCTCCCTCGCAGCCGTGTTTTGTCTCGTCACGCAACACTCTTCCCCAACAAAGGAGGAGGAGCGTTGCGTGACGAGACAAAAATGGCTGCAAGAGCTTGCTGTACTGTACCACAACTGTAGCAACTGAGAGACTTGGTTTAATTTCAGGTGTTGAATTTAAATCAGTCAAATAAAATAGCTGTTGTCGAAAACAAGTCATAGAAACAACTTCCAAAGCATAATTCAATCTCTTTATGGGTCCCACCATGAGAATATATGGTTGGATCAATACGGGGATTCAGAGGTATTGGCGAGCTTAAGCAGCGACGTTTTTGAGCGACGCACGTCAACCGGAAGTGATCCTTTTTCTCTTTTAGTAAGCCTTTACGCTACCATATTTGTATTGCCAAGTGTCTTAATTCATATAGAGACGATCTGCCCAAAACTTTGTTCAAAATCACGGCTCAAGTGTGCAAAAAGTCCATTTCCGGTTGACGTGCGTCGCTCAAAAACGTCGATACTTAAGCTCCCTATTATTCTATCGTAGCTACGTAGACGGTAAAATTTTGCCTTTTCCACTCTGAATGGGATGTAACCCTTTTCTTCAATTACATCAACAATCAAAACCCCAATATACGCTTTACAATGGAGCGGAAAACTGACCATGTTCTACCTTTCCTAGATGTTCTAATCAATAACACTGACCCACACCAAAGTAACCACCGTTTACCGGAAGAAGACTTTCACAGGTCTGCTCACCAGTTATCTGAGTTTTTGCCCCTTTACCTACAAATTGGGGTTAATCAAAACCTTGATTCATAGAACTTTTAAGATAAACAACACTTGGATGGGGTTCCATAATGACCTTCAAAAATTGTCTGTCATTCTGCGGAGGAATCTCTTCCCTGAGAACCTTATCAACAAATATATTTCTAAATATATTCAGACAGCAGTCAAGGGAGGGAAAACACAGCCCTATTCAGGAGTCGAGCCCCAGGAAACACCTAAGTTCTTCCTTAAAATCCCTTACGTTGGGCACTTCTCAGTCACGGCACAGAGGAGTGTACGCAAACTTGCTAACCGGTTATGTAAACCTATTGATTTAAGGTTAGTCTTTACTACTTTCAAAGTCAGGAATCTTTTTAATGTGAAAGATGCTGTCCCTGAGGGGCTACGCACGCGTGTGGTCTATAAATTTTCGTGTGCAAGTTGTAATGCTTGTTATGTTGGTGAAACCAGCCGACACTTCTCCACACGAGTGCGCGAGCACTTACTTTCAGACAGGTCTTCGAACGTTTTTAAACATCTGCAGAGTTCAGAGTTTTGTAGAGCATCCTGCACACCGGATTGCTTCGAGATCCTGGACTCTGCAGCCACTAAGTACCAAGTGAAGCTTAAGGAATCCATGTTTATAAAATGGGAGAAGCCCGATCTCAACCAGCAGGTGAAACACATTAACCTGACTCTCTCCCTGTAAAGAAGTAAGCGTCACTCATTTAATTTGTTTTAGTAAGCAATATTGACAAGGCAATGTAACGAACTTTGTAAGATCGCGCGCGCTTTAAATTCAACGGCGATTTCAAAATATGTAACACTGAAGATGACGGATGTACCGTCGAAACATGTCTGGAAAATTAAAGAAAGTTGTTATGTTTATACGACTATCTATATTGTTGCTGCTATCTAGAACATTTGAATTATGCTTTGAAAGTTGATTCTATTACTTGTTTTCGAAAACAACTATTTTATTTGACTGAATTAAATTCAACACCTGAAATTAAACCAAGTCTCTCAGTTGCTACAGTTGTGGCAGAGTAGACTAGCTCAGCACGGAAGTAACACGACGTTTCAACCGTTATTTCATTAATAATAATAATAATAAAGAGAAGAAGAAGAAGAAGAAGAAAATAAATATTATTACTATTATTAATATCAATATTGATAATAATAATAATAATAATAATAATAATAATAATAATAATTCACATGAAGATCTGGATCAGCTACTGATTACTAAGCCGCAATACTGATTTTGAAATAGCATGCACGTCGTTATTTCGGAAATTATTACATTTTGCGTTATTACATTATGCGTCAGAAAAGTTACTACAATTTGCGTTGAAAGATTATTACATTTTGCGTTGAAAATTTTATTACATTTTGCGTTAGTATTACATTTTGCGGCGATTCTTATTACATTTTGCGTTAATATTACATTTTGCGGCGATTATTACATTTTGCAGCGTAACACCATTCACTTCTCGTTGAAATGTTTCTGATAAAGTAAGCTTTTTCGTGTTTGTTACATTACAAAAATAGTGAGGTAAGGTCACTCTCGGCATACTGCATCGCAGTGTAAGGCTAACTAAGGGCACCCTAAAACAATGCTCAAGAGTTTATGAGCTAGATGTATAGTGTAAAATACCTATAATATATTTAACACTATGTTTAAAGACCTGTTTCACGAAAATTGTCTCACGTTTTGGTTGTTAAAGACGACCCCTGAACAACAGGAGGCAAGGCAACAATTCAAGCACCTGAGGGCCCAAACCATAAGAAATGATTGGGAGCGTTTTTTTTTTTAAGTGACAGTCACACTTGAAAAACTCCTCTGCGACTTTTTCAAGTTCCAGTCCGTTTTTATCATAGCAACACCCGGTCATGATTAGCCTGCGTAGCAAGCGTTTCTGTGCGGTGTAGGAACAAAGAACGAGGAACGAGAGTCAAAGACCGCACGAATAATGGCGCACTTTTGGCTCTCAGTCTTTCTTTGCTCCGAAACCAGGCCAAATGGAAACGCTTGCCACACAGGCTAGGTCATGATTAGCTTAATGAAACAAAACCATTGACTCAAACAAGACTGTACCGAATCGCGCTCGTTCAAGAAGAGGTGGGTTTCTCACGGACGGAGCACTGTGCCATTTTCATTGTAACGTACCCTGGGATGATTATACTGACAAGCGAAGTGCAGCGGTGCTCGCATCTGCGTATAGTTCTTCACATCCGTCTGAGCACCGCGTCGTAATAACAAGTTTGTCATTTCATCGTATCCTCTGATCGCCGCGATATGTAGCGGTGTCATGCCTTCACCGTTCCTTACATTTGTGTGAAGGACCTTCCCTGCCGCCTCGCGCGACCTCTGAAACCCAAAAAACAGCAAGAAATACGATTTAATCCGTACTCTCATTCTCACCCACATGGGACACGAATAATCCAAGATCACATTAGGTGTCACAAGTTCCCACTTATAACTTAGCCCCATCTCATAATTAAATAAAAGGGCGAGTGTCCGAAACGTCAGCTTTTGAATTTCTTCCCGGCGGGGTCTCGGCGGTTAATTTATTTTAGCAATAAACCAGGAGTAATAAACTTTAACACATTTCTACATTTGACATTTCATGAACGTAAACATCAACATTTGCGGATAACATTGCACCACTACTCTCTGACGTCATAGACTTTGCAATGTTACCCACTCAGAGTTTTTGGCGGGAAACAGAAACAGATGAAATGCAACCTCGAGAAGAGAGAAGTGTGACGTCACGTTACCATGGTAGCACAATTTCTGGATCACAACAATAGGGAGCCTAAGCAACGAGAACGTCAAAAAAGCAGTAGGTATGATTAGCGAAACGACAATTTGCACGTGCATCACACTTTTTGGCACACTTCTTTTTGCATATTTATTATTCTTTGATAGAGCATGTTTACATGGAGGTGGGGGACAGAAAAAAAAGGTGAGGTAACATGCGTCGGGTCACCCCACCTATCATGTAAACGTGATCAAATTTAAATGACAGATTAAATGGACAGGCGGGTTACCTCACCCACCTGGGGTCCCTCACCTCCATGTAAAAAGGCCCTTCCATTCACGTGATGGCTATGCTTTTGAGGATTATTTGAATAAACGTAAACGACTGCTGCGACATGAAACTTCCTAATTTCACGCGCCCGCTTATGGAGTAGGTGCAATTTTCTTTTTTTTTTTCTAAACGTAAATAAGGTCCTTTCGGATTCAAACCCAGAAAATTTCGCCAACATTTGACGAATTAAATGAAATTGAATAAGAAACAGTGCGAATATTCACTTTTTAAGTGCCGTTTTCGGTTTGCTGTCATTCAGAAATTTTGCTACCATGGCAACGTGACGAAACGACTTCTCCTCTCTATTAACCAAAAGAGTGCGCGTTGCCAAGGAAACTAATTTCAGCACTGACCTTTTGCCATTTGCTACATTTCTCACACTGACACAGTGGGTGACAGAGGTCCTTGTCGGAGCGCGGAAAGTCGCTCCCATCTTCTTCGTCTTCTTCATCGTCACTCGGACCAAGTTTATACCGGACCTGACAGAGAATATAAGTAGGTTATAATTATCTGATTATGATTACACGAGACGTAAACTCGAGCCCGTCTCGCCATCAGCACACAGAGAAATAGGGCACTTTTACGAACAACGCAACTACAGTACTAAGGTTCATTTCGCTTTTCCTTCCTTATTACATAACGCAATTTCAATAAGGGCTCAATAAGAACAAACAGAAAAGTTTGGAAGCATTCTAGTACTTGCAGTCAATTAATTTCATCATGAGAATAGCCTAGCCTACTGCGCGTCAAGTAACTACTGCACTATACTTCACCCTCGTTTCTCGCGTCTCGCGGCCTTGCTGCTCGCTGTTCGCGTGTTACGCGCGATAACAGAGAGATTAAGATTCACGTTTACGCCAAACGGCAGACGTGAATTTGTACCACGTGACCAAGTTTCCCCCTTATTTTCCGCTTACTCTTCATTGCTTCTACACAAAAATAAGTAATTCTATGCCAGTTTTAACCATAGGAATCGTTCGGGACTGTTTTTATCTGCTTATTTTCTATTCTGAGAAATTCCCAACTTGAGTCTGAAGTTTGCCGTTTGCGGTAAACGTAAATCTTAATCTCTCTAACCTAATGTCTCTCAGGAAAACAGGAGACTGCTAGTATCCCGCTACTGCACAGCTCACACGACGAATTCAGATTCGATTTCACGAACTCACCAAATTTTTGCATGTGCAAGGATGTTGGAAATGAAATGAAAATCGCCTAAACAACCACTGGCGTTTTCCACAATTCCTTTCAGCAAACATGTTTTCATTCAGTTTTTAAAGCTATTTTCAAGCAAATTGATCTCAGTTTCCACCGCGCAACAGCGCGTTAGGTGAACTCGAGTAACTTCTTACCATTTCGACATCTCCATCTGCAACTGTGCGAATGAATCGGTCAATCTGCATTTAGATAACATATAATGTCACCTTTAAAAGAACAATCACTGATTTGTCTCATAAACCCAAGGCTGAAACAAACTTACTGTACATGGGTTAAAACTTACAAGACCTCAATCAAGAATGCCTTGTACTTGTCTTCTTCATAGTCAGTGTAATACTTTTGTTGCGGACACCCATTTTTTCCGCGCAAAGTACCGGTCGCGTGACTGCGTAGGTTTAATACACTTGATATGAGATACATGCAAGTTGTTTGTCTAAAACGCCCCCTTTACAATTTTCTCAAGCCAATTACAAATGCACGAGTTTATTTTTTGTTTATAATTATTTTCACCCACCACAAGGAAATCAAAATTTCCGACTTGGCACACCTTCGCTCTCCCGCAGTTGGCTTCGGTTGCACGCCAAATGTGGTTGCTTTTATTCTCGTTAGGTTATTGGCCCTTGTATTGCACAGAGAAAGTCCAGTTTAAGATAGATAAGTTGCGGTCACACTGAGCCTTTTTCCCGCCTTTTATTCCATAAAAAAGAAACTACGGGTGTGACCGCTTCTTCCCGAGATAGCTCTGCAATGGGGCCGCATAACCAATTGAAGGAAACATAAAAAAATGCTTTGACTCGGGTTCTGAGTCATACAATAAACCAACCTACCAGACGGTAGAGTGGCTATGGTGTTTCCCAGGTAAAGGAAGCACTGCACAAGGATAGTAACCCGGGAAATAACCTTAGTGTGACCGCTTTTACTTCGGTATGTATAATTACAACCTCGAGAAAATTTCCATGTTGAATTGCCTTCACAAGGCAGGAGCCCAAGGTATATCCAAGCAGGACTATAATCATACCTCTTTTGCTCTTTCCTGTTCCTTGGAAACGATGGTGGGAAATTCCTGCGACTGAATGAGTGGTGGACCTTCTGAAACTGAGTTTGTCTAAGAACAACAAATTAAAACAAATTAAAGTCTTCTTCAATTACAGCCACTCTCTCTGACTAAAACTACAAAAAATAAAAAAATATAATAAAATAAAAGTAGCAAGATTAGGTCAAAGCCTGTTTCACACGTTTGAGTACAACCACGAATGCTCATGTAAGATTGAAAGCATGTGATATCCACCCAAACAGAAGCAAATACGAAGGGAAGAATAAGAGAGATGATAAGCTGCAAGTTCAAGACCAAAAGGAAAGAAATACGACAGAAGAGTCCAACGTTATTTTGAGATGCTAAAAACGACCGTAAACAGAGGCAAACAAAGTGGGGGTAAAGCATTTTCAAATAGTTTAATGAAGAGTATAAAATGCGAGTGATCTAAGGGATTGAGGGGGAGGGTTGGTTAACATGAGAGAACTCTCATCGGCGCGAGTTTCATAGCGGGGAGACTACTTGGTACTTCCATACTGAGATGATTATTTACAAGAGAGGATGCTGTACACATTTACATGTTCCCCCGTTAATCCATGTCCCACGTGTCGACACCATCTCGGATTGACAAAAATTACGCAAGGGTAACCCGATCCGGTCCTCCGACAAGCCGATTTTTTACCAAAAGGAGTGATTTTTCTTCGTGTACATGACACTGTTGTGCGACTTTGCACCGAAATAAAACTTAATCACGAAAAAGAATGAAATCCGTCCCCGGTACAGCAACCGGGTTGATCTTGGGCAGCCCGGTGTAATTCGTTCCGCGGGATGATTTTTCCTGGTAACATCAAGTGAATGATTAGAGAGCCAAGAGAGGCAAACGGTGTGAGCTGGTGCCGGTACGAAAGTCAACCCCTTAGAGCCGATACAACAAGTGCAAGAAAGTTGTTCATTGATCTCAAACACACTTCTTAGAACGCTATTACTAACAGACACCAACCAAAACAAAAAAATTTACAACTTACTGTGTCAGCAAAAGATACTGTTTGTTCTTGTTCTTCGCTTGCAGCTACTATAGCTTCAAGAAGTATTTCCGATACCTAGTTAATGATACAATTTGAAATAAAACTTAACACGCTTATAACTAAAGAAACAACAGGTTTATACAGTACTGTATGGTACTACCCTAGCCGTTATAATAGCCGTTAACCACTCCCTGAGAAGGACTGTATTTGCCACCATTCAAGAGTCCCTAGATTATAATTATAGAAAAAGGTTGCCATATAAAAGGGCAAAAGCGAGCTGGCGAGACAATGCCTCAGCCTCAAACTAGGTGTGGCGTTCATTACCCTCTCTCCCCAATCCCCCTTTTTTTTTCCTCCCTATCCCCTAGCCTTTTCGACGCCTGCTACGCAGGCTAACTATGGGTACTAGGGTTTGCCCGGTTGTGATCCGGCGCACAAAGCGGAAAAACCCTGGAAAGAATTTAAAGCAGGCCAGCGTCCACCTCTCCCGGTAGAGAAGCCAATCAAAGCGAAAGATTGGCTTTACCTCGTATGTCGGTGTGCGCCCTAAGTATCCGCTTTAACGTTGTAAAATGCCCAGGCCCAGCTATAACAGCCTGTTAAGTTGCAGCTAACAATCGTAGGGTCTCCTGGTTCAAAACTTAAATCTGAACGTAGATAGGATGTTGAAAGACAGCCTATGGACTGAGTGGAACCTTGACATGCACTCAAATACCTGTTTGTTATGAGAGCTGTCCAGTGGGGTGGCCTTGTCCTTGTTTCGAGCTTCCAAAGACGCGCCTTTCTCCAGTAAAAGGCGGACAATCTCAGCTTAAAACAACAAGAAAGAAATAAAGAAAGCGATGATTAGTGTCTGGCCGACTGACATATCAACTTCCAGAGTCACAGACTGGATGTCTGACAAGCTGGTTAGTTGACTGATCGATCGACTGTCTGGCTGCCTGCCAATTGTTTAGCCAAATTACTGACCGTTTGGCTAATAGTTTTATCGACTTGCCATCTAGCTGACTGCTGATTTTCTGTCCGCGACCTTCTGTCGACAAATCGACTAAAAGGCTAATTGCCTGACACAAATCGAATAAACAAAGAGGGCAAACAGCAAAAGGCAGAGACGACCACGTGACCTCTTTTTTCTCCCGCATTTGACGTCGCTCGGCGTTTGTCGTTGGCCATTTTCCACGTGAGGACTGGTTGTAAGTATAGTATGAAAATCAAGAGTGAAACTGAACTTTGTTATCGTCTTGGATACAACATCATCATCCGGATACCTCAACACGTGACCTCTGTAACAGCTGGCTTCAGAGTACAACTTACCATACCCCCAGCGAGAAGCAAGGTGAAGTGGAGTGTCTCCATGCTCATTTGCAGCGTTCACCTTCAGTACTTTCACTTGCGTGTCCAAAAATACCAGCGCCTTTGTGCACTGCAACAAACAATGACAAGTCTTGTAAAACGGTTCTAACTTTTGAGTCTAAAGACGAAATTTGTTAACATTCAAATAGAACGTCTCTGGCAGTTCTTTCACATGGTACTCTTTAGTTTTCGGAAACTTTGCAGGGTCTTAACTGGCCACTTTTGGGAGTAAAAAAGGTTACAAAGAAAGCAAGAGACAGGGGTTCGACTGTTCGTAAATTCTGATAATCGCATGTACTGGTGATACAACAGGATAAAGTCGTATGGATATCTATATTATTACATTACACTGTAGCTACAAACTATCGATAGACGTTAAGATAACCCAATATGATTCTTTACCTTTTCGTGCCCATTGGCGGTGCACAAGTGCAAGGGCGTATTACCGTCATTATCAGGAGCATTTACATCAGCTTTGTAATGCATTAACACCAACTAAAATGCAAAGAAACAACAAACTCAGTGAATTTATGGTTAGCAACTCGACTACATTTGCTCGTAAAAGTTGTCTGTATCAATATGCCTCGATGGACTGCATGAATAGACCTTACACGAGATGCAGTAAACTCACACAGTGTTAACACCATGAAATATACGGACAACAGCTATTAAAATAACAGACGTTTGATTGATATAAAGGGACTCTTGTTATTACGGACTCATAACTGTTCCTATACTTGTTGTACTTTCGTTTAAAAGCAAAAGACAGGGTCGGTGTTACGTCGAATTGCACAGTGAGGCTGTTCTAGGGTCGCTAACGCTTCTTTCATTAGCTATTACGAGACTGCACATTCCCATGGTGCAATTCCACACAACACTTACCCAGTCTGGTAGCCTGTTCCAGGCTGTGAGATAGTGGGGAACACGCTTTTCGCGTTTGCGCTTTCTCAATTCAGCAGACCCGACTATCTCGGAGCCTGGAACAGCCTACCAGTCTCTGGCCGATAACGGAAGGATCGAATGGCGGGGTTTCCACTGTTAAAACTTTGGTCAAAGCTGTTCAAAGCCAAAGGGATGATGGATGTGAACTCACCGCAGCACTGCCATGTCCTCTTTGACAAGCCAGATGCAAAGCTGTTGTACCGTGGTAATCCATAGCATTTACCACTGCACCTTTCTTGATCAGCTTATAGATCAAATTTGAATGGCCTGTTAATTAGAAAGAAACAAAGCGTAAAACAATCAATATTTCATTTTGCCAGGTGACTTTTCAGTTATGACGAAAATTACGCAACCACGCCGGCGACAGCAGCGAAAACTTTTGCTGACAAAGTGAGTTCGCGCTGTTTCCCAAACCTCATGGCGAATATTACATTTCGATTAACTTGTCAAAGGTAAGCAAATTTTTCTGGAATTGAATTTTCTAGGACCATATCCAAGTTTAAAAAGAAAGAGAAAATCATCGTCTTGTGTTTTTGTCCGACAAAAAACGTGGAATTAGGAAAGTGTGACGCACGTGCAGAGTTGTCGTTTTTCTCACTAAACCTTTCGATTTTTTTTAAGATCTCGATGCCGCCATCGTCGTCGTCGTGGTTGCGTAATCTCCCTAAAGGTAACAGAAATGAAAATGTAGTAAGGACATCAGTGACCGAACGCCAACGTTATCCATGATCTTTAACTAAACCGACACAATTCTCTTAGTATGAAGGTGATAAGGTGATTTCCAAAGGTGTAAACTCCGTTAATACATTCACGTACCATATTCAGACGCAACGTGAAGTACAGTTCTTCCCAAGTCGTCTCTAGAGAACACTGTAACAGCGGACGGGTCATGGCGCTTCCTGCCAGAAAAACAAAATGGACAATCAAAGTGCCGCACTCAAATGTTCCGGAACATCACCGACACAAAAACTATTTAGAATTAAAAACTGTTCATTTCTGAGTTCCAATAATTCTCACTTTCGAAACGAGTCGAAGTGCAAAACCTTTCTTGTGAAAATGAATAATAAAAAAACATTTTCATATCAATGGCTTCGCACTTAGCCTCGTTTTGAAACAGAGGCTTAGGGTAACTCGGAAATGGCCTTAAGAGCGTTTTTACGTGACTTCACGGCGGCCATATTGGTGTTCCAAAACAATGAAACGGTGGCCCGCATGTTGGTGTTCCAAACCAGTCCTAATGGGTTTTTTTTCTTATGTAAACCCTTTCATTTGTTCCAATAAATTTGTATGGATGCTGGCCACTTGAGTGAAAACGCCCAATTGGAGCCACCGTGTGTACCTGGTGTGCAACTTTTCACACTTGGCGCATGAACACAGAGGATGGCAAAACTTTTCACCAGGAGAGCCATGATCGCCTCCAGAAGACAGTAATTTCTCCACTTCTTCTTCGTTGCCGTTGGATGCAAACTGAAAAGCGAAAAAAAAAACTGTAAATGCATAGGTGAATCTGGAATTAACGTTACTCTGGCAGGCGATGGAAGTCTGGTAGAATAATAAGAGATCTGGGAAGGAAACAATGTCCCGGGATAGGCCGGATTTCCACCGGAGCTAGACTTTATAATATAATAAAGTAGGTTTCTGGATAAACTTGATTGAACTGATCTTAAGTTTCTAGTCAACTAGGTTCGTATTAGTGGGTGCACACTTTACTTAGTTAAAAGTAACAAACTAAGTGAAATGATCCGTGGTTGATACCATGGCGTAGTCCATTTCCATAAGGTCTAAGAGAAAAACAGGGAAAGAAGCAACTATATTACGGCTTTGAATGAGGAGAGAAATGGAATTATAGACCAAACCCGGGACCAAACCTGGCGCAAGACTCTTTTCCGTCTTGCTATATTTTTCTAACCCCTTAGATGGAATGAGAGGTTTCGTTTGCTACAAAGTGCCTTCGAAGAGAATTACCTCAAAAAGCTTTTCTAGTGCAGTTGACCTTGGTCCATCCGTCTCCATAACAAGCCAAGAGGAAGGCAACATCTAAAAATGTATCACACGAATATCACGTTAGTAAATCTATTTTCTTCAAACATTGTTGTGTTGGGTATCTGGTGATGGACAGCTATTTTTAGTTGAAAGACCAACAAAAACTCCAGAACGATCAGTTGTAGAAATCGTCTCAAATCGGTTTGAAGAGCTGGTCAATAACAACAAACAACAAAAAGAACAGACGTCAAAGCAAGTCTAAAGCGTTTTACAGTTAGCCTTCGAAAACAGCCCTCTCTTCTCCGGCTTGTCGACGCTAGGGACGGTTGTATTCCCAGGTTATTTTACAGCGTACAGACATCTGATTATAACGTTTCATTCAAAATTTTCCTTTCCTTACATTCGTGTTCTGCTGCTTCCACTCTATCGGCATTCACTTTCATTTGACACGAAGAAGACTCCTACGCTTGCGTCGCAAATGAAAACCGACTTTCAATTATTTTCCCCTGGTTTTAAGACACTAATCAAGACGGAACCTCAGTAAGCGCCCAAAACTAAACGAACAGCCGAAACCACTTGTGGAATTGCACACATTTTAGGCATTCTACTGATGAACAGTTACGACGCGTAGATACCTTTTTAGCAACTCCTATAATTTGCAGTCTGTCCACTTTGAATCGTTTGAAACGCGGAATGATGTTCAGTAATCATTCGAGTTATGCCAGGAAGTTCTTGATCACCCAACAAAAAGAACAAGGTGATGATATCTTGTTAGTTTCCAGTTCGGAAGTTTTTATAGCATCCTTTAATAGAGACCCAGTGGGGAGGAGGAGGCAGATAAAGTCGAGGATGAGGAGATGCGCATTTTTTCGTAACATATTTCTCCCACCTTTTTGGATTTTTCTTCTACCTATTCTTTTTATTTGCCACTCTGTTTCGGATGATTTTTAGGATCATTATACATTTCTGGGAAACTGCTCACCTACCCTTCCCCTACGCCAACATTTACTTCTCACTTAGGGCAAAATATTGGCTTAGGGGAGGGGTAGATAAGCAGATTCCCAGAAAAGTATAAAGATCTGATTTTTCAGACAAACACAATACAAACCTTAGCAGGCGAAAGTCCCTTAAGAACGTCATTAACATATCCTCCTCTGATGTGTTCAACGGCTGCTTCTATTGAAGACAAAAAGAACCTGCGAGGGAAGAAACAGTAACAGCAAGTTCGCCGTTTGCTCTTAAACAAAAAGCAAGTAAAACCATAAGAACTACTGATATATGGTTTTCCATGGTTTTCCATTTGGTAAACTCAGATTATAGAATGACTGGTACAGTTGCCTTTCAATTTAAGACTTTTCAACGACGCCAAAGTGAAAGAAGAGAATGATCACTTCACCTAATACCGATTGGCCATTTAGGACTTTTCTTGAGAGTGAAATGGTTGGTATTGTGACGGATCAATTCACTATGGAGTTGTTTGAGACGCTGGTGCTTATTATATCGCCTATTACAAAGCTGTGCAGTAGAGTGGGTCTAAACTCCTTCCCAAAACAAGTTCCATGATCCAATTCGATAAAAACACTAATCCAGTCTTCCAGGAAACCTCAGAATGGCTACCAGATCGTTTCCAATCACGTGATCGTTTTCACTCACATGAAAGTTTATATATGAGGAGAGTACAATCCCTACAAGATTTGTTTGTACACCACTGACAGCTGTTTCATTGTTCTGTGCGCTTATATGGCGAGGGGGGGAGGAGGGGTGGACACAATGTGGAAACAACTGCTTCTATTCTTTATCGACCCACCCTCTGGTGAGGGGTACCGCCCGTCCTCAGACTCAGCAGTCCCTTATCTCCTTCCTACACAGCCATTCTTTGTGTTGTCACGCAACGCCCCTCGCCATTGCGAGAGGACACAAAAAAAAACAGCTGACTGCAAAATCATCGAACTTGAGTTAAGAAAGGTATTTGGACAATCGTCTTTGTAGGATTGAGCCTCGTCACTTACTGGAATTCATTGTGTCCGCGCTTGGAAAAATGAAAGTTATGCAGATAGGTGATGTTGGCAAGCCTGAAAAGAGGAGAAAAAATGAAATGTAACAACGGCCGACAACAGAAATCTTAACTCTGATAATTTTTTTCCATGAAAATGGGTATAAAAACTGTAGACGAAATCTAAGGTGTGAAATTTCTTCAGCACTACTTTTTAAAGGTACTTTTCCTTTTTAGTAATAACTATTTTCCAAAAAAAAACCTGACGTAAGCCATGTTGTAATTTGGGAACACCTGGACCAAGCTAACACTTACCAGTTGGGAATGTCTGACTTGATTATTAAGAAGATTAAGGCTGGAAGTAGGTCATCCACAGTTATCGCTTCAGCTGCATCTGTTATGTACCAATAATTATGCACAATTAATTGAAGAAACAGCAGTAAAAGTGAACATAGTGAGTCTGTATTAATAGGTTAACCTCTACTACACCGTTATTGTCAGTCCCAAATATCGCTTCTGTTCGTTAATAACTGTAAAGATGATCTCTATTAAGCAACCGCGGTCACTCTTACCAAGGTAAACTTGAGTTAAAGCATTTTTTATTGTTTTCACCTCTATTAACCGGTAACTTTGTTAAGAGGTTCATGTGTACCACACAAGTGCAATCAATTGATTCAGTTTATTGCGTGTTATCATTGATATTTTTTGTATTTTCATGAACAAACCAAATATTTTGCATATGTATTTGTTGAACTGATTCTTATGGGTGACAACGATAAAACCAAACTGTGCAAAAGTCGAGATTCTTGAACTTTCTCTAGTTTTGCGACTTCTTTTGTGTCAAAATAAATCAAAATATAACGCTGCAATTTCCAGTACAGTGAGTCAACTCTCTCTCTGTAAGCGTTTACCAAGGGTCATAATTAGCTGTCCATTCTGAAAATGAAATATTTGTATTTGCTCGAACTTTTCGCTAAAAACCATTCCTGTCACGTAAAATATTTAGAAATTGACTGGCTTGACAGCCCTGATTGATAGTGGAATTCCCTTTACGATTGAACCTATCTGACCGATCAGTTTTAACAAATGGTAAGCATCCTAAGACAAATAATTAAAATATCCTTGCATTGGGAGCAGCCAAGTGCTTGTTTTTTAGAGGGGGTGTCCAGCTTATTAATAGGGAGCTTAAGAAACAACGACGGCGACGGCTATGAAAACGTCACTTGAAAGGTGAATTCAGGCTGCTTCAAACTAAATAACGCTTATTCCGTCTCGTTCAATCCGTCAAATGTTGGCAATATTTTCTGGAGTTGAATTCTAAAAGACTGTATCGAAGTTCAGGAAAAGAAAAGGAAAGTCGTGGTCTTGTATTCATGTTCTCCAAAAAAGGTGGAATTAGGACGTTTCACATCGTAGTCGTGCAGTGACGGCAAAGAAATGTACAAAAAAGCGTGATACACGTGCAAAGTTGTTGTTTTGCTAATCTAAACCTATTGCTTTTTTGCCGTTCTCGTTGACGTCGCCGTCGTCGTTGCATAAGCTCCGGATCCCTACAGAGAGTTTTCACATGACGTCACGGCGGCCATATTGGTGTTCCAAAACAATGAATCGGCGGCCATGTTGGGGTCCCAAACCAATCCTGTGGGAGTTAAACTCTTTTCTTATTTAAAAACTTTCTTTTTTCCAATAGATTTGCATAGATGCTGACCACGTGAGTGAAAACGCTCTATTGAGCCTAAAGGAAACTGGTTGAATGACAGGGACAACCTTTAGGTGTAGGATTTTGGGTCGCATCCATTTTAGAAAGGTATCAACCTTGACAGGTGGTCCATTCAAGAGCTGACTTAGAGTTAGAAGTGTTAAAAACAGTTCAGAAGATAAAGGTATGTAAACTGACCTTCTGGAGTTTTCATCTTCCTGTCTGTCACTATTGTGACAGCTTTTTTCAGGCAGTGGAATTTTTCCAAAGGAGTATTGTACTGGAACAAAAAAGAACAAAAATGTGTGACAAAACAATAGTGATCCCTGAACGTGATAATGCTACAAAACTGCTATGACTCAAACGAAAAAATCTGAACCTAATGTCCTTGCTTCTTGCTTGTGAAGCTTCTTCCTTGTGAATACAGATGCCTTGCTCTCACATGCACATCATTTAGATTGTAAACGGAATCCTATAGTGTGATCAGTCGAGTGAAACCTCTTTAACACTACTTTCACATGGTTCTAAGTGTATTTATAATGCTGAATACATTTTTTTTAAAATATAACTTTTAGCCTGTGGACGAAATCCTACAGTGTGTCCATTGAAAATAATGACACCTTTTCAGCAGTACCTTCACACTATACCTGCAATTAACTTTGTAGTATTTTCAAACGAAATTAAGGATCAATGGCCAATCTTTGTAGCCTGAATTTCATCCGATTATTTCGAGTCGTTATTACTCCCTCAGTAACTTATGCGAATGTTTAGACAATCAACCAATCAAAGTCACTACCCGGTTTTCGGGTAGTGAGTGACGTCACTGGACGGCATTAACGGCCGGTTTAAAAAAACGAAAGAGCTTCAGAATCTCCCCGATTTAAAAAAGAAAGAGCTCTCCTTCCTCTTGGTAGGTTTGTGCTGTTTAAAAGTAATAACAAGTAAGATAAGAAACTGATAAACCTACTAACTATAAGGCCTGAAAAGAAAAGTGGCACATAACTTTTATTTTACTTAACCCTTTAAGCCCCAATATCCATATACAAATTCTCCAAACTGATCTCCATACCTTTCTTTACAGAATTAGTTGAGAGCATTTGTTCAAAGATCAAAGCATTTTCCCTTTGGTGATGATTTTATCAATTCTCCTAACCTTCTCTCTTGATTATGTATTGATGTTGTGAGGAGAAAATAGATGTTGGTCACTCTTGAGACTTAAAGGGTTAAAGGGGTACTCCCATAAGGATTCTTATCATAATTTATGATTTGTTTAAAAAAAATGTATGTGAGACCTAAGAACTTTTAGCAATTTGATGTAGTTAGATACAATTTACCTATAAAGTTGACAGCAAAGAGCAGTTATGCTCAATAGCGAGATATTCTCTGTTCATACATGTACTCACAAAGATCATGCAGTCACCCTGTAGCCAGCATTTTGCAGTGCAGTTAATCATATTGTGCAATTCTGATCCAGTTGATGTCATTTTTCACATATCACATATAGCTAGTTATGATGAATTATACGTGGGATTTCAGCCAATCAGAAATGAAGAATTATTCTGAATGAATAGTAAGAGACACTGAAAATAAAAGTAGATTCTTTTTTAAAATCCAGCATACTGGTATACTTACCGTAACTGTTCCTTCACTCCTAAATCTTTAACTTGAATATCAGCCAAGTTTCGTGTCATCTTGTTCAAAAGAGCATCCTGTATGATTATGAAATCAAACGATCATGACAAAAATCTAGAAAAAGTTAATGAGTTACATAAAGAAATGACCACCAGAAATAAATTAGGTTTAAAATATAGTTTTAATTTGAGCTCACAAGACCCCACAATTTCTTTGATAATCCCAACCAAAAATAACACTTAAAAAAATATCGTTATTGTGCACGCAGCGAAAAGGCAATCACCTCACTCATGGGTTTCAGGTCCTCCTCTTTATTTTCATATTTTTATTATCATTCCAGGTTGTCTTCTGGCAAGATTAGGGAAATTCCACATCACTCTTTGTCATAATTATTTCAATTAATGCTTCTCCAGTTAAAGCAATTCTCTCAAACTTTTGCAAAATGAATGACCCAGTAACACTGAAGGCATGAATGATGTTATGACCAGTCCCTAGTCCCTTGATTAAAATGCACCAACTGTCAGTGCATTTTAAAATATGTTTTTGTTTTCAAAATCAATTTAAAGAATCAACAAAAAATAAATACCGGTATATATAATCTCCCCAGCTCTGGATTTTCCATTTAATCCAGCAAGAAAAATTATTTTTATCACCATGAAATTAATTAATTGTTAATTTATGACCTAGCAGCTTGTTCAGTCAAGATGGCTGGATATTGCTGTCATTCTTCTTTGTGTGTTTTTTTTCCTTGACTTTCTCTCAGTCCATAAAAATGAACAAAAGGAAGTTGGCCAATATTCAGCTATCTTGACAAAACAAGCTTGGTCAACAATGCACATGCAATTACAAAGTAAATAACTTCTACAGCTGTAAGTCACATGCTGGCCACTTACTTCTTTTCCAAAAATAGAACTGATTCCTCTAAACAGCTGGCTATGTAGTTCATTCATCACATATGTCTAGAGAGAATTTTTTTCTAAGAATAAGTAAACAAACATAGTCATAGCCCTACTGCCACCTCTTAAAACCCCCTGCTACTGGGAAATTTGCAACATGTCCTTAGCAGTGGTGGGTGCGATGAGATGTAGAGCTTCAACTGCAAGCTAATAATCTCAGGAGAGATGATTATTGCCATGAACTTTACTGCGCTTTTCAAAAACACACAAACTCTGAAGTTCAAACGCTACCTTCACAATTACGCTTTTTGCTGCCATCAATCATAATTACGATGACAAGCAATGAACCTTGAAACACAGATACACACAAAACGGATCAAAATCCACCCATCACAAATCACAAATCATTGTCCTTTGAACCCGTTGACTAAAGTTCTGTTTCCTAAGAGATCTGCTAAGATGATTGACGACAGTGAAAAACGCACACATCAGTTGGCTTTTGAACTTCAGAATTCGCATGTTTATGAAAAGCACAGTAACTCATTGATATCTGTTTGGTCAAAATGAAATTTGATTTCCCTTGTCTCTTACTGTTAATTATTCTTGATCATGTCTAAACTAGGTTGAAAGTTGCCTAGTCCTTGTGCATGCATTTTGGCAACGTACATGTACCAAGACGAACAGGACCATGTGACCTGAAATGCATAGGCCCCATTGCAAAATGAGGCCTAAGGACAATTGTACAAGATTGAAACCATTTTAACCTGGACCAAGAGACATGTTATGTAATACTAAGTGACGTACCTCAATGGCAAGCTTAACGTTGTCCATATAACTGCTGTTATTTTGGGCTAGTTTTCTCTAAGAAAGATAAACATTTCAGGGTGTGAAATGACGCAGACAGTCAGTCAGTGACACAGGCAGCTGTCACTGACTTAGGGCGCTTTCCATTCATCAGAACTGACCGGCCAGGCCATTCTCTTTGTAATGAGAGTTTCGCTTTTAATCAAAGCTATCCAGCCAGATCAGTCAATTCCTAAATAGCAAGCACGAAGGAAATCGTTTTTTTATCAAAAACTCTTGGAAAAAGCCTATTTCATTTTCAAAATGACCAATCTGGCCATGGTCTGGCCTGCCAGTTCTGACTTTTGGAAAGCCCCCTTAGTGTCCACTGTTGGGATGTCAAGATGCCTGTGTTGACCATAAAAGGGACAGTTTATTGTCCGTAATATGAAGATGTTTATGGAGTCTTCTATTCATGCAAGTCTGGTGTGCAGCTGATTAAACCAGAATACATGGCTTTGTTTTACACAAGATGTAGTTTATTTCTGGGTCAATTTCTGATTGACAAGGCCAATATCATCCATGACAATGAGGATTTTAGTCAAACATTTGTAACTTTTGTTGTAGGTTTAGCTGCTGTATACAGGGTGCAAAGAAAATCATTTTTGTAGCTTGCCCTGTGGGCAAGCTGAAGCTAGCATTTACTAGCCCAGACATCATTTGAACTAGCCCCAAAAGCTTTTTGACGAGCAGAATTGATTTCACAGTTTTTCCTTTATTTGAATTGCTCAAAAACATCACTTGCCCATCGGGCAAATTAAAAACAGAATTCACTAGCCCGATAACAAAATCCACTAGCCCCGGGCTATCGGACACTACTTTCTTTGCACGCTGTGTACGTGCCATCAAGCTGTCTGAAATGATAAAATTTTGTTTTCTGTATACAATTATTTACATGTGCTTACTTACAAGTTGTGAATTTTTCAGAGCTGCCTGCATGGCTCTTGTGTAAATAGCATGAGCAGCATCCTGTAGAAAACAAAAGGAGATGAAGTGAAATATATATGTGAGTCCATGGCTACATTGTGTAAATTGGACAAGCACTGTAGCTAGACAGGATAGACCTCAAAATTAATACAGAAACAGAATAACTACAGTGAAACCTCCAAAATACAGACACCAAAGGAACAGAGCAAAGTGTCTGCAAAACAAAGGTGTAAATTTGTAGAATATAGTACAGTAAAGTTTGGTACGTCTTCAGGACTGACAGAACTGTCTGTAAAATAGATGTGCCCTTATTATACGAGTGTTTAAAGGGAGAGGTTTGACTTGATGTTTTTTGTTGCACATTCAATATTAAACAGACCCAGAAGCAATCAGACTAATTGGATATTAAATTTAACCAGTAAAAAGTGTACCAAGAAGTAACACCTTTTATGTAATTACACATAGTACAGTACATAATGTAGTGAGAGGGCTTACTTATTGCAAGTCCAGCAACCTTATAAAGCAGCCATCATTATAAGTTCACATAAATTATCGTGTACACCTGCATGACATATAAATGCCTGGGACCTTCACTCAGTGACCCAGTTAAATTTGCATGAGCAGTCTTGTTTACTGAATGTGGGGCCTAACTGTAGGTAAGGTTGCATTGCTTGCTACAGATCAAGTTCTAAATACAGTCATATAACAGCAGGATAAGGCCATCTGGCTGAGTGTGTGAGGTGATTCATGCATTTTGATTCTAACTAAGGATGTTTAATCACTTGAAATAAGAAAGAAATTTGGTCCCCCTGTTCTATCAAGATGTTACACTGTACTGCCCTTTTACTGGTACTTGACTTTTGAATTTTCAAGAGAGAGGGTTACAAATTAAAGTCAAGATCACAACATGTAATATTTAACAGCTAGTGAAGGAGAAATACACCACATATAAACCTACACTGCACTTTAAATCCACATTCAGGGAAAAAAGCTTACCATTAAATGCCGCAAGGATTCTCCTTCAAGTTGTTCATAACTTGAATTGAATAACAGCAAAATATCATCGATATGTTGTTTCTGGGTATTTTTGCTTCCTAACAACAAACACAAACAAAAACCTTCAGCATAAGAGACAAATTATAAAGACTGGACAATGAAGTTCATTGAAATTAAAATTAATTAATTTGTCCTCTTCCCTTTCAAACTGTCAATTTAAGAGATCATTGCTTTTGTATGTGGAAGCCACATACATCAAGGCAAGTTTGTTCCTTCCATTGATGTTTACTAAGATGATGTCAGGTGGTTGCCACACACAGGCCTGTCATGGTTACACTCTTTGCTCGCCTTCTGCTTCTTATTTTCACAACAAAACCAGCCCTTAGAAAAATGAAAACTAGTAACTGCTCTCACTCTTTTCTGTTTTTGTATAATACTTATAATATTAGATCCTTTATCCCATCTATTAATCAAGATGAAACCAATATGTATTTCATCAATCTTCCTGAATTATTTTGGAAACTCATGTTGTAAGAAATAACGTTAAGACGGAATCCATCATGAAATTGAGTAATTTTAATATTCAGTGGAAAAAGACCTTGTACCAGAATAATTTAAACAATATCGCATTCTTTTTTACATTTTTCAAGGGCTATAGATGTAATCAGCTATCTGTAATAACACCAAAGAATATTTCTTACAAGAGCCCAAGAAAAGAAATGTCAAATTTCACAAAACGACATCTTACACATAAAACGTTCAGAATTTTAACCTGTGTTTTCACAACTTTTGTGAAATTTGACATTTATTTTCTTGGGCTCCCATGAGAAATGGTCTTTGGTCTCATTACAGATAACTTATTTTAGTAAAATCGAACTAGTGGTCTATTATCAATGCTGCGTTCTGATTGGTTGAGCTACTACTAGGCTTATGTTATAGCCCACTAGTAGCGAAAAGCGCGGGCTTTTTGGTGGCAAAAAAGGATTTAAGTCTAGCTTTAACTAGCTAAAAGTTTTTTTTATTCTCGATATTTTTGACCAACTAGTTGGATTTTACTAAAACAATATTATTCCTCTTGCCCTCATGGCCTCTGGGTCATTCAGCCCATTCAGGCAATAACAAAATTACAAGAGCTAGCTTGACTGCAAAGAAAAAATAACTGATTATAGACATACCAGAATTATTCCATAAGAAATTACAACATGCTTGTAAAGTCTCCAGAGATGTCACAGCTGGCTCTAAACTACCACCTGAAAGAGAATAAAATATTACATGTACATGACAACTGTGCACCGTACACTCAGCAAGGCTGTAAATAATAATATTGACAATATGGCCCAGGTTGCACTTGAGTGAACTTTTTAACATCAAAGTTTTGGTGATAAAATTTTTGGAGAAAAAAAAAGGATTTCAAATTTTAACATGGGTCACATTATGTGAGATTTGCATTTTGCAAAACTCCAATGACTGAAGGGACATTATATCATTATCAATAATATAGACCATCTTTGAGGAGAGCTCTTGCTTTACACACTAAGAGAAAGCATCACAAGAGAATGGATGGCTGCCATATGATTATTCCTGCTTTTTATTTCTGCAACAAAAAGCAGTTCAGGATTACATTAGTACATACCTGTCGCAAATCAGATGGCTTGAACCCAGAAGATCTGTCATAAATCTTTGGTGGAATTATTATTATCACTAATGATTACAAGTCTGGGTGAGTGTAAGTACAGTAGTCCTGAATAGGACTGTTGTTGACCATAACTGTCTGATAAATGTTAGCCATCGTAAACAACTGTCATATTCAGTACCACACTGTCTTGTCCAAACAATCATTAATATTCCACTTAAGTAAAATCCAACCAGTGGTCTCTCATCAATGCTGCATTCGGATTGGTTGAGCTACTACTAGGCTATATGTTATAGCCCACTAGTAGCGAAAAGCGCAGGCTTTTTGGCAGCAAAAAATGATTAAAGTCTTTTTTTAAAGTTTTTTTATTCTCGATATTTTTGACCAACTAGTTGGATTTTAGTAAAACAATTAATTATTCCTCTCGCCCTCATGGCCTCTGAGTCAATAGCCCATTCGGGCCTGAGGAATAATTGTTAAATACCTGTACTTAATTCACTAGCATGACAATATAGAATGCAAATTAACAGCACTAAAGTCACTCTTACCTATTCCTCCCTCTAGTGGCTGCTCAATACACAGGACAGAAAAGCTTTGATTGTTGCTGTTAAAAAATGTCTCTTCAAATAGAATTCGTACCTATATATGTTGAATAATAAATAAATATATTATGATAGTGGCTATTGAAAATTTGTGTCTGAACTTTCATGCAGACTTGGTGGTGTATATTTACTAAAATTGTAATAAAGTCATGTAAAGTCAAACTTTATTTTAACAGGTAAGGGGGCCTATTGAGCTTGAAGGCTGGTCTACACAGGGGTCCTGCATCTTAAAAGCTACAGTGCACTCAGAGGAGGATCGAATAGTATCCCATGATGCATTTTTCCAGAAGCATCACGCAATATCGCAGTCATAGCAGATTCCATCATAAAATAAGGTCGTTTTCTCGTCGGCTTTTTTCTCACTCGATTTCCAGTAAAAGTAAAAAAATTACATTATTTCGTTATTTGACATGATTTCTCCGATTTGCAATGGCTTAAGAGCGAAGTTTGCACTTAGAAACATTTATTTTCACGGTTTCAATTAGTCTTCTCATCACAAAGTGTTCAGTGACCCACAACCAGGTCATGAATATTCAAGGTTTTTTGGGATATATGTTGAAATCTTACAAATGTGGACCTCACGCCAGCAAAATGAAGTCCTGAATATTGTACAGGCCAAGAAGTACCCAGAAGTACCCACATTTTGAAGACTTTTTTGTCGACCAAAGATGGCTGAAATTTCGAATCTTTTATCACATTTCAACGCCATGTGTCATAATATATGTGTAAAGCCTGATGAAGGCTACAATCTGTTGGGCGCTTTTGAGAGCGCTTTATGCCGAAGCAATCACTTTGTATTTTCAAAGAGGTTATTTTTAAAAGGAATTTGACTATAATTATTTTAATTCGAAGAAGGAGCGGTGTATAACGGTGTGTTTCAGTGTGAAAAGAACCCAAAGAAAGGAACCACGCAGCATGCAAGCCGGCACAACCTAAACTGAAGCCTGCTCAGAATTTGAAAAAGAAACATCATGTAGAAACTTTATTTATTCAAAAGAACAGATCAGTATTCTGGCCAGGAAATTTCCTTGAAGATTGCTTGAGTCAGTACCGGGTAGACTGTGCTTCAGAGAATTGTTTGTCGCATCGATAGGTTAAATTTTATTTGTAACTGCCATTGTAAACTTCAGCTCCTTTGAGCGCGATGCTGTAATAAATTATCCTTTGGTAATTAGCTTCACAGCGTAGCGGATGTTTTGTTGGAACCACTTTATAGATTAGTCATAGTTTTGGTTCTCCTCTGGCCTGGGTTCTCCTAGTGAACCTAGCGAAGCTTATCAATTGCGAGTCTTATAATTTGTGTTTACAGTGCGACCGAGCGCGGCACAAGTAGTTCTCAACAGATCAGTGAAATACATGTAAAACCCTTCTCAGTCAAAGCAACGCTGAAATTCTCCTTTAAAGCACAGTGAATATTAGCCAACTCGATAATCTCAAAAGCAGAAGCTACTGAACCGAAACATATTTGGAAACCATCCACATCGAGCATTGCGATCGATGTTCACTTCACACGTGCTGAAGGTTACTGATCATAATGTGTCACGTACGCAGTGATAATATAACATGAATCGAGGTGCATCATGGGATACTATTCGATCGTCGTCTGCAGTGCACTAAAATACGAAATTACAGTCATTTTAAAAGCCTAAAATACAATAAATTCATTTAAAACTATGTTTAAAAACCTTAAAAAACAATACAAAAATGATGCAAAAATAAGAGCTGCAAAATAAAATAGTGACTTTGCTAGACATATGTATGTCAGACATACATGTTTATATCTGTCCTTTAAAAAAAGAAAAATAGTAATAATATTTTTGGCATCTTTGGTACAGCTGTAAGATGAGGTCAATTTTACCCAACCTAAATATACAGCCCTTAAAAAAGTAATACATTATGCTTCTTACTGATTTCACATCCTGAAAACCTTCAGTTGTCACAATGAAGTCTCCACTGACTTGTACTTCCTACAAAACAAAACACAACTCACACTAAGTTACTTGAATGATGAATGGTAAGCTGGGAATACATGTCATTATTATCTGATTACAGTGACCTCAATAAAATTGCTTTCAACAGTGTAAGTCCTTGAATTGTTGTTTCTCATGTCAGTTTTAAAATAACTACAATGTTTGAACAATTTTAGATGCTATTTTACCATCACTTTGTACTTGCACAAAAATTACAAATAATATCATATTATTATATCACAAACAGATGTTTGTAATAGAAAACATTACAAAATGTACATTATGTTGTTTTGTTTGATACATACAGAAAATCTCACATCAAAATTCAAATTTTCCCTTCAAATGAATGTGCCTTGTTCTAGAAAATGGAAATTTTGTACCACAGTGAATGGGCATGTAACAGGACTCTGGCTGTCATTAATGGACGCTGTAACCTATAACACCTGTCACCGATGAGCTCATAAAATAACGAAAAGGTTGTGCACAAGCATCAAAATGTTATGGGTAAACAATTACATGTGCATCCCATGTCTGCTTGACAAAATTAAAGGTGACATTCCTATGAATACCGCCATGATTACTACCTTCATGATAAAAATAAAATGCAATTGAAGCGAATTTGCATATTCAAGTCAAAGTTTAATTTGTCAGTGTCAAACTTGCAACATCAAATTAAATGGACTTAAATTAAAGAACAACTTAATAATTATATAATGCTTAACAAATTACGAATGAAGCTGTTTTGTTCTGAAACTGAAAGAGCAATGACTTCCTGTAAACATCTCTTAATCCTGCGTCTACACAGACAAAACCACCATGTGAAATAGAATATATTTGCACAAGATCAATCAACTGTAATTTATGCCAAAAATTTGTGGTTCGATGAAGCTACAAGATCCTTGCCTGGCAACAAGAATCGTAAAGCATGAGACATGATTTGCATTGCCTGGAAATGAGACATGACTGGTAACTTTCTTTTGAGCAGTACTGCCAAGACTGTGCTCTAAGGAAAATTGAAGGAAGCCCAGTGCTCTGAAACTGTAAAATCTAGGGTGCCCAGCATATGATTTGTGTAAAAAATCTGAGATTTTCTAGTCGCCCGAGGGCAAAAGTTAGGCGCCAGGGGCCACCGGGCGTTGCTAGAGCACAGCCCTGACAGCCTTGTCCTTACCTTGTTGTTTACAGTTTTGTAGGCTGATGATTTGCATTCTACTGGTAGCAGCAGATGATTCTCTACATGACTCTGAGTAAAGCTTCCCCTTGCTTGTGTACCTTGCCGTGGAATGCATACCTAAACAGTTGAGCAAGACAGGAGCAAACAGTCAATCAAATCATGCTGAAACAAGGTAAAAAAGTGAGGAAAGAAGGTCAGAAAAGATGTTCACTTTAGACCATTCCTGTAATATGCAAAGATTTGACTAAACAAGCATATATTTGATGCTACACCAGAATCTGGAGTTTTTAATGACCAGATCATCAAGAAATGTACTGATTATCACATTTTGGCACATTTCATCACATCAAGTGCTGGATCTTCCTGATCGATAATTTTTCAACCAACAGTCTAGAATCTTTCATTATTGTTGAGTGAAAGATATGACAACTGCTAGCAGCTGCCAGTGAAATACTAATTTTCCTGAAGAGGTTTCATTTGAACAGTGTGTATCACAGGATTTTGCCCACAAACTCAACAGTTCGAACCACCTCCAAGACTCCATTGTACTCCTGAGCCATAACAAAATAATATCTTAAGTCATTAGGACATGAGCTGTCCCTAACTTGACATATCTATATTGTATCAGCTAAAATCCCAGTGGGTACTTGGGGCTGTCATTAAAAGCTGAGGGCCGGAGATTTCCACCAGCTACTATGAGTGTGGTCCCCGGCTACTTTTATTGGAAAATAGAAGAAAAATAGGACCAAAAGAAATCCCTAGCTGTAAGATTCCCTGACTACTCTTGTTGTATTTACCCGGCAACTCGAAATCTTAGAAACAACCCTGGGTTCTCCCTTAAATTATGGGATTATATGGCTGAGTCTCAGAGTTTCTGGAGCTGTTCCAAAGGTAAATGTTTATGTGTGACCACACTCGAGACAGATCAATATTATTATTTTATAGCAAAACAGAAAGTTAGTCGAAAGGAGTCACCAGGCACTGCTAGTGCACAACCCTGGATCAAATGAAGCCTAAGACATGCCCATATTGGTCTTCTTTAAGGGTTTACACTGTAATTCTAATTTCCGACAAGCATTTCTGCCCCATGGGGTACAGAAATATGGAAAATTAACTTTTAAGTGTAAAATTAATAATACCGGTAGTTCTGTTACAAAGAGAAAAGTGATGGTGAATATGAGGTTCCAGAGTTGGAGAGGCAAAAGGTATACAAGTCATGTACTATCTTGAGCAGCACATCCTCTCAAAACTCTCTATTTATATCTCTCGGAAGGGGTATAGAATGGTTGTCATTAAGACCTCGTACTAAGAGAGTGGCCCCGGCTAAAAAATAGAAGAAAAATAGAACATAGGTCTTAGATATTGAAATCTCAAAATTGATAAAAACACCATTCTCAGGGCTGCAAATAACGGCCGGTCAAGTCTCAAACTCCAGTCTTGCCGGTCATTTTGAACAGGCATTTTTGGATACCTGAATTTTGAAAACAGGGTCTTGCAGTCTTGCAAATTCTCGAATTCACCATTCTATACCCCTGACAGTGTAATCCATATAATAGGATCATCTCCAGTGTGATATACTTAGCTATTACTCACAGCTGACGTAAAACAAAGAAAACAAAACATCCTTAACAATGAACCTAACCCTGACAATAGTCCATAAACAAAGAAAATGATTAAATTATATTACACCGGGGATGGCCCATATAATTAGGAGTAGCCCCTCCCCCTGCCACTCTTTGCTCTGTCTGAGGTAGAATTAAGACATCACCACCTTTCTATGAAACAAAACCCCCCGTGAGCAGGTGTAAGATAGAATTCATAGTTAATTAGTGATAGCTAAATCAGCCCGCATTGCCAGAGCGCTGAGCAGATCTAGTAGATCTGTAGAAAATGCCCAGACTAATAGGTTGTTGTTAGCTGTTGGTTACTTAAGCTGTATAGCGATTATTCTGGTTATAATCAATTAATGGAGCTCAGAGAGGAAAAAAAAATAGAAAAACATACATTTAAAAATTTAGATAAGGAGAAATGCTGAGACATGCGCATAAATTAGCCACAGGAAATGATCTAATAACGTGTAAGGAATCTACAAATTTAATAAGTTGGCAGTCCTGGGCCAAAATTCACGCGGAGACATAGCGTTACATCAAACTTACCGTCCATCTATTACTAGCTGCTTTGTCATAGAGCTGTTTTTGCTTAGTTTGCATGTATTTGAAAAAAGGGTTTTCGCACAAATCCTCGTCATAGGCAGACCCTTGAATGTTAACATCCTCCGCCATCTTGAACTCCAAAGATGACCGCGCACGAGATGACAAAGACAGCCGCTGACCGCACTCTGTTCCGTAGTTAGAAGAAATGGCGCTTTTTATCTTTCCAGGCGTGTACTATTAGATGTAATGTGAGCGTGTACATTTATAAACACATTAGCAAGTTTATGTACGTGTTTGAGTAGAATATGGTTTGTCAGCTGTTCTTTCCTCTACGTCCTTTTTTCAAGAGGTGTCATGGACATTTAAGACGTTCAAGCACGTGTTTTTTCTTTCCTGGGCAAGGAGCTCAGTATGTCGGAATGTGTAAATCTTTTCTCAAAGAGCCAACGGTGATACAACTATTTGACGACGCTCACAAGATATTGGGGTATGATTTACTGAACATATGCTTAAATGGACCCGCTGAAGTGTTGAACAAAACAGAGACATGTCAGCCAGCTGTTGTTGTCTCTTCACTTGCTGCACTTCGGTATCACAGGGCAAAGCAATCACAGGTAAAATTTCCCACAAAACATCGTTCCAAACCTTGTAGATAAAGTAGATCTTAGCCTGTGTCGCAGACATAATCCGACCCTGGCTTGTATCATCTGCTAAGCAGTGCCAAGATCCTTGTTCTGTACCCTCAGTGGACTTAACAAATTATTGGAAGTGCAATTGCAAATTTTCCTTCAGCCTTATTGGTCATTTGAACAATGGCTTATGCAGCAGGCTAATCAAGGTATACATGCAAATCCTGCTACACAGCTGTCGACCTAAAACAGGGATTTACAGCAAATGTGACCACTTTTGATTTATTCGTATTCTTTCGTACAGATTTAATCCAATCAGAAGGCAGCTAGACACTGTCGTCGACTTCTGATTGGTTGATGTTTGCATGGAAGAATGTGAGTTAATTAACAGAGGTCACACTTTTGGGCTCATTACTGTAACACTGGCTGGTAGATGGACTTAACCAGAGGTTTAGTTTCATCTGTGGTGCGGGCTAAGTAAATCTCAGTGAGGCTGATGTGAGTAGCAAAAACAAGGCCATGTACCATTGCTCACCAGGTCCAAGAGAAAACAACATCTCTGGCGACTACATCCAGTGTACCAGCGGGGGGAGGATGCATTCTATTGGGAAGGGGGGCTCCTCACAAATTTTACACTTTAATTTTGATTATCTGCCTGTGCCTTCCAGTGGGGTCAAGATTATGGGTCTCCTGGGGATGATTTCTTGAAAGTCCCAGTAATTCTTCAGATCCAAAGGCATTCTTTAAAAACAAAAGCTAAAGAATACAGTAGAACCGCATTAACTCAAACTCTGAAGGGAACCTAAAAACAGTTCGAGTTGTGGGGGGTTGAGTTATCAGGGTAAATTGAAAGTCAAATTAGCCATCTTAATAATAATAATAGTTACTGATTTTTCAGCACTTCAGAGCATAGTACAGTGCAAATTTAACAAATTTCAGTCATCAGAAATTGTAACATGATTGTGCTTTTGATGATAAAACGTGATCTGTTTGTTGCACCAATCAAACCAAATTGCTGCAGTGTTATTTTTAGTGTTTTAAGCAATTATACAACAAGAAGAGCTAATGAAATGGCATTCAAGTGATCGGGGAAAGTTTTAGTGAAATTTTGATCAAAGGAAAGGAAATGTAGTTCGACTTTAGCGAGGAATTTGAGTTCTCCAAGATCAAACCGAGTAAGAATGACCGAAAAGTGGAGTGAAATCCAAGGGAAAAAGTAAATATTCCATTATTAGTATATAAAAATACACTGAAAGTCTCAAACTGCTACCTATAAATTTTTGGCTGTCTTTCATTTCTACGGGTCTCATGACATGGAGCCTTTTAAACCTTGTTCTAGGTATTTCCTGATTGGTCAAATAAACTCGATGCATGCACAACAGTTACTGCTGGGTTTAGTGTTGGAGAGTTGACAGCCTTAATATTTTCTGGAGCACTTTCTTTTAAAGATGGTAGGGTTTTTCAATACTCAGCTGCTTGCTATGCTTGGATATACAAGCAACGTCCCATTACCAATTACCTCTCTTTGGCCATCGCATATCCAGGTTCCAAAAATATCCTTGTTCAAAGCACTATATTTTATCTAGAACATTTTACCATCAAACTGTCACTTTTATCCCTACTTGCTTAAAGTGTCAAATGTATGGGAATTGTTAGCCTGCAAAAACAGCCATCTCTCCTCTCTTCTTTGCCGCTAGCGACAGAAATTTTATATTGATGATGTAAAATCCGTGCAGAATCTGGCGAGGAGCTCTGATTGGTCGACATAGGAGTTACATTGTTTTAGCTATTGTTTACAAATGACAGACAAAAGACAAAAGGCCACAAAGGTCAAATGTAAACGCGATGAATCTACTAACAGTCAATATTCATGGGATATATTCCTTTTTACGAGAAGCATTATTTTGAGTTTTGTTGGAGCTTGCCTGCAGAAGAACACAAAACTTTACCAAAAATGATCAGGCAAAACCTAAAATTGAACAAATTAATTTACATTTGGAACCCCATGACTACCGCATAAATTATGTAAATATTGATTTAAGTCATGAGAATGAAATTGCTTCTCTCCTGGCGAAACAACCTAGCGGCGAGGAGCAAAGAGAGATGGCTGTTTTCATAGGCTAATGAATTTTGATTCTCTTGGTTGATTCCTGAGAACTGCACCCAAGTTCAAATGAGAAAGAAAAATTTCTTGTTGAGTGTTCACATGCTCCACCAAATGTCACAGAAAAATTCGTGTCATGTTAGAGCAGCAAAGAAGTGTACCAAAAAGCATGCTTCAATTTTTATTGTTTTCTCATTGCCATCACTGTTGTCATTGATAAATTAAGCTCCCAACTATTATTTGTTTAACCAATCTACTGGACTGTGGTGAAGTACGAGCCTGTTTATGATTAATGCAATATCTCAGCAATAATTATTTGTACAGTAATCCTCTCTGTTTCTAGGTCTGAGACTAGTACAGCTGCGTGCACAAGCCATGCAGGAAGCATCAGATCGGCACCCTAGCTGCATGGTATCCATAATGGCATCCAAAGACCAGAGTGTTGAGGAGCTCTGTGACAGTGCAAAAGAATGGTCATGCCACAGAGGTGTCCAAGAACCAGTTGCGTGTACTGCAAACTATTTGTTTCCAGGAGGATGGGTCGTGGGTGGTGACAACTTATCCCTGCAGTACATCCTAGAGTTTGGAAAGTCCAAGGTATGTTTTTAAACAACTTTTAGTTTCAGTATCAGTTATTTATTGCCAGGGAAAAAAAACAGATATTCTTTACATTATTATGTTAAAGGTCAAAGTTAAATTAAGGTTGAAATTTTTTAACCTACAATGTTATCATGGACAAAAGTCCTTGGGACAGTCAAAACGTCACTTCAATTCTATGTGTTTCACTTGTAAGTTACGTTGCAAAAAGCAGTGCTGTCTTCTTACAAATCCATGTCCCCTCCCCCCTCCTTACCTAATACAATGTTGAAAGATCAAAGGAATTGTGCCTTGACGGTTTCAACACTGTCTGTGGGGTGGGGGGAGGAGGGTAGGGACGTACAGTTTTAGGAGTGCGCAGATACAATTTTGCTTGTGTTAAAAAGCATTTGAACTGTACAACTGTCCCAAGAGTTTTGTCCCTGATGGTAGGTGGATTCTCTATTTTCGTAGTCTTCTAGCCCTAATTATTCATGAAGAGACACAGGAAACTGAGAATCAATCTAGGTGAAAAAAAATTTCAACCTGAATGTAATTTTGACCTGTAACATACACTGTATACACTGTAGTTAGCTAGCTAGTGAAGGAGACTGCTGGCCAGCATGACCTCGAGATGAACCTTGCCTAAACAGGGTGCAAAGAAAATCATTTTTACAGTTTGCCATTCAGGCAAGCTGAAGCTAGTATTTACTAGCCTAGACATCATTTCAACTAGCCCCAAAAGCGTTTGACGAGCAGAATTAATTTCACAGTTCTTCCTGTTATTCGAATTCCTCAAAAAACATCACTGCCCGTCGAGCAAGTTAAAAACAGAATTCACTAGCCCCATAGAAAAATTCACAATTCCCGGCTATCAGACACTACTTTCTTTGCACGCTGCTAAATTATATTTAGCCCCATTTGTTACTGTTATAGCATGGTATCAAAAGAGCTCAGATCATCCCAGTTAGTGGAGCATTCCACACCAAACTGATGGAATCTGCACAGGATCCTCTAAGGAGGGCACTGGAGTCCATTGATGTACAATCTCCTAAATGTACAGTGTACTCAGGAACAAGCTGTGAACCATTTACTACTCCTGATCACATTAAAAGGTAACATTAATGTATAAGTCAATTCCAAAAGTAACCTCTTTCCCTGGTCTGTGAGACAAACCTCAATGCATTTGACATTATTTTCCCCAGTTTGGTTGCAAATTAGCCAGTCAAATGCACCATTGGTCAGAACTTCTCAGAGCATCAGATACAAACAAAGCATTTACAGTATTAATTTTTGTTAAGAAAAGCTCTACTTTAATGACATTAATAATAATAATAACGTTGTTGTCATTATTATGACTATTATTTTATTATTATTACCGGTATTAAATATTATTGTTATTATTACATCAATCTGAGAACAAAGAACTATTAAAACAATCACTTTGCTGCAATTCCACAATCTTCAAGGTGAACTATGAAATTAATAGTAAATTTTATGATAATAAGGAAGCCTACAACAAAATTATGAACCATTCTGAAAGCATTGCTTAAAAGTTGTAAGGTATATTTTGGTTATTTAGTGCATTTTCAGTTAATATTAAATGGAAACATGGAAGAGGACACAGGTGTAATATCGTTAGTTAACGTAACTAACGTTCTAAAATTAAAGAGTTTCTTTCAATTGAAAACTCTTCCTGCCCAAGCAAAACTGACAGTGTGTTGGCAATATAATTTATTTAAAACCTAAACTGTTGCAAATCATTTGACAGCGGTTAAGATCATCTGTCCCAGTCATCATTTCCTTGTGAATTAGACCATTAAATGATATCAAAATGATAACCGCTCGACAACGAATAAACAAAGTAATCATATCATCTCTGAATGAATATTTATTTGTATAAGAATATTATATGTGTAGTCCTAATTACAATAACGTTGTCATATGATATAATAAGCAAAAACAAATGAAACAAAATGGCCAAATTAATATAAATTAATTAGCCATGCAATTTTTTTGATATAGATGATTTTGAATTTTTAAACACTTTTGCAACATTAGTTTTTGACATCAGGTGAACAGACTGAGGACGCCATCCTTTCGTCAAAATAAGCTTGACTAATTTATTCTTAGTTTTTCAATTCTGGTTTTGCTTAATGTGCAATTAGAACCATGTTTAAAGTTAAATAAATTTTTCTGACCTTGAAAGAGTCTCACCCTAAAAAGATTGATTCGGTCATGTATTTTTTGTTGTTCACCAAAATAATGTTATATTTTCATCTCTATCAACTTCTTGAACAAAATCATCGATACTTTGAGAATTCAAGTGTATGATTGATTTAACTTGTTGTATTGCTTAAAGAATGATGATTTATGGTATTGGTATCACTCATGAAACTTCATATCTTCAAGTCCTATGAAATGTTTGTACTTCCTCTGTTCAGAGAAGTTTTGAATTTTTATTTTATAAAATCACAAGTTTTTATAGTGTCAGTCACAATACCACAAAATGTATACTGGTTTGCCAATAGTTTCCTATTGAAAGGGGCCACTAAAAAATTCCAGTTTGAGTGGTTTATCAATGACCATGTGTTAAATGATATTAGCCATAAAATGATACAGCTTAAGTATGCTGTAGGCTTGCTTGCAATGTGTGTTGATCCTAATAGGGATAATTAGTTTTTTATTATGACAATATGAGCCAACATGTCTTCAGTTAGAAAGAAGCAATATTAGTCTTTTCAGCAAGAAACACATTTTACTTATTTGCATCTCTGTTTTTCCTAATCATTTGTTACTGCAGTTTTCCTTCAACAGTCTTACAACTGTTGCTGAAAGAAGCCCTCTTTTTATCAGAGTCACTTCAATCTTTCGCAATTATTTTAATGGCCTAAATAGTTCTTAAAATCACTCTTGGTCTCTTGCATTTTGAGGGCAATATTTGTTAGGTGTCATGACATTCAAATCCTTTGAATATTTGTGGTTTTAACATGTACTTCAATATTACAGAATGATATTTAGTATCACAAGTCACAATTTTTGTTTTAGTTTCTCCCTTTTTTATTTTTTGATGTTGGTCTAGAGAAGTTAAGAGTGAGATGTAGTGTTTTCTGCAAAGCAGTACATCAAGAAAGTATTGAATAAATTAAAGTATTCAAGCTTTCCAGTTGACATTTAATTTGCATTCAACAAGTTCTAGGTGGACAATACCATGATGTATAAGTAACAAAAGAAAACTTAATGGTTATACTAATATCAATGAGATTGGTCAACGAATACAGGAGTTTGTGTCAGGGGTCAGTCAACAGTTAGCTCGTTACGGCCTCAAACATGCATAATTTCACCTTGCATAAATGAAAAATGAAAAATATAATGAAACAACTTTTGGTATGAAAAGAAGACAGAAGATACAGGAAAAATGTTTTAGAAAAGGGAATTTGCTGTACTTAGCATATTTCATTTGAGTTGAAGGGCTGCTTAGTTAAATGACATATCACACATATAGCATCGAAGCCTAACATAAATGTTATTTTTGCTGGGAAAAGAGAGTCATATACCATTTCCTTGAATTTGGCTCTTGCTACATGTAGAGCAACCCTAATACATATTATGTCCTAAAATGAGAATTTCTTGCATTTGAAACTAAGTACATGTTTCAATGATTTAGCCAGAATTCATTAACACAAAAGATTTTTATAACTAAAAATAACTTAGTATTGTTATCTCTAGAAATACCGTAACTATTGTTTATAGGAAAGAATGGAAAGTGAAAGCAGTTAACCATGACTACATATATTTGGGCTATTAATAATCTTTATTCTTGGCAGTTTAAACAAGGTTTAACCCATTAATTCTCTTTCACCCCAAGATAGAAATGATGGAAAAGTTTATCATTTTAACTTTTGATTCTGTGGATGAAATTAACTGGTTTTAGGATGTTTACAAATTAAAATTAAGGAGTTACATCAATAATTGAATATTTTCATATATACTGCAACTGCTAGTAGTGAAAAATTTTAAGTGCTTCAAAAAAGGTGATCTTTTTGTGGAGGTGTAAGCAGGCACTTGAAAGAGGGGGGAGATATTTGAATGATTAATAATGGTTTTAGGACTGAATGGAGTCCAATTCAGTCTGTAATCAGGCGGGTGATTAACAAAATCAGACTACCGTGTTTGGGGAGTCTGATTTGTCTAATGAATCACAAGTATGATTACAAAACGAACTGGATGACACAAAGTTCTGTTACCAATAATGTTATTAATGATATAACTATAAAAAAATTTGTGACCACTGTGTTTTGGGAGTCTGATTTGTCTAATGAATCGCAAGTATGATTACAAAACGAATTGGATGACACGAAGTTCTGTTACCAATAATATTGTTAATCATATAACTATAACAAAATTTGTGACCACTGTGTTTGGGGAGTCTGATTTGTCTAATGAATCACAAGTATGATTACAAAATGAATTGGACAACACAAAGTTCTGTTACCAATAATATTATTAATCATATAACCATAACAAAATTAAGTGACATTTTAGGTTTTGTTTTAAATTAAAACACTAGAAATTCTGAGATTTACCAGCAGCCATTTAAGTGCTTGAATGCGATGGTGTGTACTGTCCAATTACTTCATTAGGCACCATGTATACTGTCCCATTACACTGTCCTATTACACTCAACTCCCTTTATAGTGGATACTGTCGAGGCCTTGAGTTAGAGTCCTCATCAGCCAGAGTCCGTAATAGCAGGAGTTTATTTCAGTCAAACATCTATAATTTTTTTTTGCCTGAGATGTATAGCTGCTGTCCGTATTATCGGGGTGGCGGTCCATTATAGCGGAGTGTTTGTGAGGCAAGATGTAGTGCTGAAGTCAGGACAATTGATAGCCAACTTTGGTATAGTTATGGTTATTAGATAAATAGTACGGTATCTATTTAAGATAAAATTTAATTCCGGTGGTTGTTTAGTTCTTCACATGCTATTTACTGGTATTTATATTGGTTAAATACTGCAACAGTTGTTATGGAGTTCAGGACTTGATCCATGAGACAGACATCCAATATTAATACCTTTTCTTCGCAAAAGCTAGTACCTAACTTCTCACCATAAATATTAGCCTTTTAATAGTTGACACAACTGTTGTGGAAAATAGCATTTTAGTTTGTTGTTGTGGGCAAACATTGTTTATTATAAGTAGAGTTTACTAACTAAACATGCTAGTTTGTAAGATGAGCTCTTCTTCCTGAGATGTATGTAAACCACATTACTGTGCAGGGGAAGTGGCCAAAATGTCAGGAGCACCTGTAGTGTTTGTGATAGGACAGTTGTAAGCAGTCTGTATTTGTTGGAGTTTGAAAATTTTGCCTCAAAAATATGTCTTTGATTTTCAAAGAAGGTCTCAGCATCTCAGATTCTACCATTCACCATATCCCTACTTGTCAAACCCGTAAATAATGCCATCTCCAGTTCATCACATTTTGTGAGAGATCTAGAGACGTCTTTGTTTTGAACCAAAACGTTCCATACTGATTAGTGTACAGTCCATAATCTGGACAGGAGCACTGATTGGTATTACTCTTTTTAAAACTAACATGGGCACTTTCTATGTCCCCCGCATAGTCTGCATTAGGAGGGTTTGACTCTATAACTTGCATAACAAAAGTCGCCAGAAGAAGTTTGCGTTTTCCATGACAACCAAATCATGTAAACGTTGATTTAGGTCAGCAGTATGGAATTTTTAAGGTCAAAAGGTTGACGTCTCTCACAAACGTCGGTAGTGACATAAAGCGAGAAGAGGTGGTTAGTATTTGACTACTGTCACGGCTGACATAATAGGCTGATTTAGCAACAGAATGGGAACATCAGTTGACGACGGAGCACGCAAATCAAACAACTGGCTTGACCAATCGCAGAGCGGCAAATTGGGCACTGTAAGTAGCATTTAGTCCTTTCCGCCTGCTTTCCCGTCGTCAACTGACGTTCCCATTCTGTTACTAAATCAGCCTAATGATTATAGGCTACAGGCACACACACTGACATGCTTTTTGTTCCTGTTTCAGCTTGCTTTTGCGTCAGCTTGTAGAACCCGTCAATTGGATGCAAACTATTCAAAACATCACTAAGGAGTGTGGAAATGATATAACAGTGTTTGAAATAGGACCTGGAAAGCAACTGAGAAGTATGATCTCTCGTATTGACAGGACACTGTTGACGAATTTCGCCAATTTGGAGACATGAGTTTGTTAAAAATCTCAAGTAAGCTGACTGAGTAGTACATGAGCACAGACATGTTATTGATAGTCGACTCTATGAGGTCAAACGGAAATGGGCAATATCAGGAGACATAAAGGAGGAATATTTCTGGTCATGCTACAAGATTATTACTGACTATAAGCATATGTCAATTATGTCAAGATACACATTGTGTCATTACAGAAAAATCCATGACCTCATCACAGAGGAATTTCAGGCAAGACCTCCCCCCTGTAGAGTTTCCATTGAGTAACTTCAAATTCAGTGGAGAAAACTGCAAGGTGGGATCATTCAAATGAAACTTTAGCAGTGCCTTAGTATCACAACATTTTAGTGTCTGGCTTTATACAAAATAGTTTTGGCATTTCTGAGAGTGAAAGGTTAAAAGTCTTACCACCTGAGAGTTTTTTCTTATCGCGATGCTGCTCATTCAAACATCAAGGTTGTTAAAAAAGGAAATTATCAAAAAGTGAAGAAGAACTGGTTGTGAAGAAGAACTGGAGGATGTGGAGCAAATCAGCCAATATTAGAGTTTGAAGGATACAGGTACCAGGGACCTATTTCTATAAAGACACAGTAATTCCAGGGTCCAGAAAGCTGTTTGGTTTACCCTCACAATCAAGGTTTTGCTAGTTTTGCAGATGTGATAAACTATGACACAACAGAACAAAATGGACTGGTTTGTTGGCTAGGACTGTGCTTTCTTTCTTTAGATTTTGATTTTAGTTTTCGGTGTCAGGTCCAGAAAGTTACCAGGACTTTCGAGAAATGGGCCCAGAACAGCTAACCTTGGGTGAACGAATGACTCGCGGCTTCTCATACAACATGAACATTATTATGGTTTTGATAGGCCTTCAATTTGAATTAAACCTTACACAGTTTTAAGGCAGTGGTTAGTTTGATTTATGAGTACAATCAGGGCTGTAACCAGACAGTAGCAAAGAAAATATTTATACAAGCAGCCGTACCCCTCTAAGGCAGGCAAGAAGTATACAGACAGTCTCAATCATAAGATAGTTAAAAGGGGCTATGTCATGACGGTTTCCATGTTTTGTTTTTTTTTTATAGTCACAGCTGAGTTTAAATTTGGATAAGTATTCTTGGTCATCTTTTGTCATACTTGGAACTCTACAGGAAAGCATAGGAATAATGGTTAGAGGGGTTACAGTGGAAATTACATTTGAGGGACACCCTCGGGACGAAATATTTTCATTTTATTTTACCTCAGAATGTGCTGTGGCCATTGTTTCAAGCAGCTAGACAATATATGAAAATCATGATTTACTTATCTCTGCGATGTTGTGTGCTGACTTCCCACAAGTGCAGTACATCATTTTTATGTGATAGTTCATGTTTTGAAAGCTGTGTCCATTGTGACTAGTGAACACTTAAACTTATCAACTATTTTTGTGGTCAGTCACCTTTTGAGTGCTAAGGTGTGGAGGTTGAATCTGGGTTTTGGGACCCAGAGAAAGTGTCCCTTTCCCCTCAGAATAGAGGTGTCCCTTCAACAGAGGTAACAAATACAAAGATTACAAAAACATTTTTCTGAGACCAAATTTTGTGTCCCTTGAACAGCAGAGGTTCCACTTTATTCCAATCTAGGTTTAGTTTGTGCCACTACAGATGGTCCAGATACATACATGTAGCATAGCTGGCATAAAGCACCTTAACCCATTTTACCTGTTTAAGGTTGAGCCCCTGTAATGTCAAGATTACCCTTCGAGTTAGCTCTCCATTTGGGAGAGTTGCAAGGGGACAGGCGAGAGCCTCTTGTGAAAGGAGATTGATGCTTCACTCACCACAATAATATATGAGAGCCTACTTGCAGGCTTTGTCAACAGTTAGAGTACCACTTTACTGAATGGAATAATCCACCAGAACTTATGAAATGTTTTGGATGATTGCTGCTGCCCCACACAACAAATCCTTGCCACTTTGCATCGGCAAAAGTGCCCATCCTTTTATAAATAAGAAGTCGGCACTCCACCCCACTTAACTTGGAGAACAATAAAGATTCCCCTATCATCACTTGATTTTTGTCCTTATTGGCACAATGTAAATGATTAGCTCGAAACAGACTGTAAGCAAGCTCTCTGTCTAGGCAGTAAGCAAGCTATGAAAGATAGGTACTTATCTCCCCAATCCTCTGCTTATCTCTCATAACTCACTCACCCATGACCTCTCACAATATCCCAGATAAAGAGCCTTCTCGCATTCGTCTCTAAACGTAGAATACAAGCATTATGCTATGCTGAATTTCAGCCCCCTATTTAAGTTACACACACCTTGGAGATTTTATGAAAGTTTTAGGCCTTTAGCCCAGAATGAACAAGTCAAGGAGATGACTGAAGTTTACTCCAAGTACCCACTTTTAAGGGAGGACAGAATTTTTTACCACAATCAAAAACTTCCAAGAAGCCTTTGCTTTCAAATGGTTGAAAGTTCAAGTGTTGGAATCTTATTCTCACAGTTTTTAAGGGTGTTTTGCACTACAAACTTGAATATTTATAGGGAAACTACTTAATATACAATGGCCCAGTTTTGTTGGGAGTGTGTTGATCAAACACAGAGGGAGAACTTGCTTTATCCCATGACAGGAGCCCTTTGTATGTTAAACTACAGGCAGAAGATGCAACTCAAGTTTTGATCCCTGAACTTAAAAAATTTGCACGAAATAAAACATCAACTAAAAGAAAACAAGACCAAGAGTTTAAAAATCCAAATTGCTTTAATGTATTCTTCAATAAATTAGTTTGAAACAAATCCTCAGTATTAGCATAACATTTCTCTGTCCTTGTTTTGAACAGTACTGCAATGATACATTATCATTTAAGTTTTGCAACCCATCAAATCAAAGTTCAACATTTTTATCAACAAATCTAACAACTTAAATTTGACAGTCAGTCGGAGACGTGGATTTTACAAGAAAAGTGAATGAAATTTTACAAATAATAAACTTGAAGAAAAAGTCAGTTAGTAAAATTGTGGGACATCTAAGCCCAATAAATATATGTTCTTGACTTTGATTTCATGAGTTGCAAGACATCATTAGATTAGCAACAATTGCTTTGCCACAATATATTAATAATACACTCAAATCTTTGATTTAGTGGTAAATCATCAACCTCATCAAACCTGAACTATGATTAAACCTATTGCTTTTAGGATTCAAAACATGGATCTACTTTAATTTCTGAACGAGTTCACTTGAATGCTGTATTCACTAGATGATCACACTTGCAAACTACCTTGGCTAATTTTTTTCAAATTCTTTACGAAATCAAGATATGGAAAAAAATGTTCGTTAGCGGATTTTTAGAAACCGCTCTTCACAGTAAGTGGAAAAAGGAAAAAATTCATTCCAAGAATTTCTGTAGTTCATAACTGAACTTTTCCGATAAAGGATAACTCCCTACGTTATTAAACGAGAACGTGAAATACTTATCTTATTTTTTCCAAGCTCACCGATCTTATAAAGTATATTGAAGACTTGATTGTTGAGAAAACGAGAACTGCATAATATATTACTATAAATATTAACTTCACACAATTTTATATATCATATTGCTAAGTAATGAATTTGTTAATCGAAAAATTTCCTCAGGTGAAAAATACAGTGAAAACTAGTATTAATTGTGGCACGTATTAAGCGCCATTTCACGGAACAATTTAATTTAACAGTTGCTTAACTGAAATGGAGGATGACTCGCATCACCAAGAAAATCGTCTTGTAGTTTCCTATCATATCTTAAACAAAATATTATGACTTGCGCTATTTTAGGAAGAAATAATTCTTAACGCTAAGAATATACATCTTAATAATATATCTTAAAGTCGATTCGTGACAATATAATGTAAAGGGAAAATTATCTAGAATATCGTACACTGGAGCGCGTGTTCAGTAACACTTTGGATAAAAAATATCACATCTTTTGTATTTCATTAGGCTGGGAAAACTACATGTACGACTTTATGTCGGCTGAAAACCTATTCTAGCTCTGTTTGACAGCGCGGTTGACTACGTACTAAAAGCTACTGAACTACGGTTTCTACTATTTTTAACCCAGCGCGCGGAAAAAATATTCCTATTTAAAATTCTACAACAATCTTGGCACGTTCTTATTATTCAACCAACATTATGTACTCTTTTTAGATACGTTCGATCTCTGGTAGTAATTACGCGTTGCTTGAGGAAACAAAGTGCTTTCCAATCGCAATCACTTTTTTTTGTTCAGCAAACAAAACTGGCAAATCCCTGGGGAAACTTGTGTACCATTTTCTGTAAAGGCCGATTTGTTTTTCGCAAAGATAGAAAGCAATGCTGAAAAATCCTAGTTTTAGACTTTCGGCTAACGTTGATTGTTAGTGTTTTCTGTGAGCAAAAACGGACGTTTTTGGTTGTTGGGATAAAAATGGACGACACTGTCAATGAAACTGTTTTTATACCTTAACGTCCCACAACAATTATTTTATCAAAGATTCCAAAATTTTTGACCGGAGCGAAACAATAGCACCGGTTTAACAACAAAACAAGTCCAAAACAAATTCCGTAAGCTTTCTTGCTGCTCAACAGAAAAATGAATAGAGAATGAAGCTCTATTCAAAGTCTTCACACCTTCTCTTCTACAAGTAATGCGTCGGTCTGTTTGAATTCGGCGTCCACATTGAATTATCTAGCAGCCTTTTAGTTTTCCTGTCAAAGGAAAGCTTTAGACAAATAATTAACTCTTAGCCTAAGTTCCTTTTCTCGAAAAACACATTAAATAATCAAACAAAACAAATTGTTAAATACGTGAAGAAACCATGCATTGCACAGCATCAGTAATATTCTGCCCAACTTTCGTGAAATATTTTTGATGAAAAGATCATATAAATATCTCCCAGAAACACGCTCAAGGCGTCAAATAATATTTGCCGTGAGTATTCACATTTAAATTCTTTCATAAAGTGATCAGAGCTTCTTCAGATTGCAATTCTTACGCAGCGTAGGAGTGAAATTTGTGCCCACATGACCAATGCAAAGCAAAAAATAGGTGAGAAAAATAGGATCAAACTCTTAAATTGAACCAAGCCCCAATCATTTATAACCAGTGAAAAAATTAATATATAAACAACTAGTTTAGGCAAACGAAGTAAAGTCGTTACGCAACATAAATTCGAACAAATGAAACAAAAACGAGAGTGATAAGTATCATCTCTCATGCAAATTATATTGACATGGCAAGCGGCTAGTAAGTGTAGTAATAAACTTCGCGAATATTGCTAAATTTTGCGCAACAAAATCTAATCAAATCTAACGATGTAAGAGTTTTAGCCATGTAATCTGCTTCACACGAGTGTGGAAAACAGGGCTTCAATTATCTCAACGTTTATTCTAGCTTTTAAAAGACTTGAATGCGATTGTTGCCAAAATCTACAACTACAATAGACCCGTCATTGCTAACGCAGATACCTGAGGGGCGATCTAACTGGCCTGGCGAGTTTCCGTGAGTTCCAAACTTGCAGAGAAAGTTTCCACTGGGCTGGAAGATCTGAATGCGATGATTCTTGGAGTCGGCAACGATGATGTTTCCTTCTTGATCCACAGCGACCCCTTGTGGGCGTAGAAACTCGGCGTTCTTGCTACCCTCTATTCCCAAGAACCACGCATGCTGAAAATCGGCCTTGATCACAAGAATACGGTGGTTGTTGAAGTCGGTGACAATCATATGGCCTTCGTGATTGAAGGCAACGCCGCGAGGAGAGTCGAACTCTTTCCAGTGGATACCCTCAAAACCGAACTTGCCAAGGAACCTGCCCTCGCGGTTAAACAGCTGCACACGGTGATTGCGCGTGTCCGAAACTAGGATGTGCCCCTCGCTACTACATGCCACGTCCCAGGGGTAGCTAAACTGGCCATTCTTACAACCTTTCTCGCCGAATTTGAGAATGAAAGTTCCGTCAACGTTGAAGACTTGTATGCGATGGTTGTCCTTATCTGCGACGATAATACGCCCGTCATTGTCACAAGTTACCCCTGCCGGCCGATCAAACTGTCCATTTCTAGAGCCTGCAGATCCGAACTTGAGACGAAAATTCCCGTAGCAATCGAAAACTTGAATACGGTTATTACTACGATCGGCAACAATGATATTGCCATCTCTGTCACAGCAAACGCCCCATGGGCGACATAGTTCACCGTCCGATTCACCCTCTGAGCCGAAAAATCGAACCACTGGCCCTACGCCAGCATAATTGCGACCTTTAATGACTGCAACCTTGAACGGAGAATCAGAGATGTGGCGGCCACGAATCGTCACCGAAATTACATGCTCTCCAGTCACTTGAGGGCGATAAGAAACTGTGTAAGTTCCGTTTTGCCGATCGGTCACTTCAGCGTGGTAGAAAATCCCATCTGGACCTTGAATTAGAACGCGCAAGGGGTCCCCACCGATACAGCGGTTTTCGCCTTGATGGTCTTTGGCTTGCACTATAAACATTGCGACCTTTCCACGAATACCCCGGCGAAGACCGTCGCCGGTTGCCGTAGAATACGGGGCGAAAGCACTGCTTGTAATGATCCCCAAAGAACTAATAGCCGTTTGAAGAGCCTGATCTGGAGGTGTGAATAAGATGGCGTCATCTTCGTGCGGCTGAAGAAAACCACGTTTGACTCTCAGTTCATTCAATGTTTCTGACAAACGACTTTTAGTGGCGATAAGTTCGCGATCCGTACTAAGTTTGATCGATCTCTCTGAAGACTCGCATACGCTCGATACTTTTTCTAAACTAGCCTTAAGTTCATCGATTTGTAAATGCAGTGATTTGCCCTTAATTTGGCGCACTTTCTCCACGCGACGTAGAAGCTCTCTCTCGCGTTCTTCGAGGGCAGCCATGTGCCTTCTTACAGTTTGCCTAATCTCGTTTGAAACGGTTTGCGCTCTGTATTCCACTTGCTTTGCAATCGTTTGCGAAGTATTCACGGATTCTTCTAGCTTAGCAATCTCCGTTTTAGCATCGGTGATCAACTTCCCCACGATCACTTTAGTAGATTCGACGGCCTCTCGAAGATACTGAAAACTGTGGCCTCGATGTTCACTGAAAGTGCACTCACTGCAAACCGGAGTGTAGCATGTTTCACAGTAAAGCCGTAAAAGTTCATTCTCGTGTTTACTACAACGAACCAAGTCCTCAGAAGAATTTTTATCGGCAATCGCCGCGACTGGTGAGACAGAGGTTATTGGTGAAGATGCGATAGTTGCTGTGGCCATAGTTGTTTTGCTCATCAATGCCGCTTCTTCGATGAAAGTAACGATACGGTGATCTTTCGTCAATCGAACTCTCTGATGTGCACGAACACAGCTATCACACAAAAGTTCACTACAATCCACACAGCGAGCTGTAACCATTGACCCCTCGCCACAGTAAATACAATGTTGAATCACCGCTCGGATCCAGCTGCTGGTTTCGATGTTCTCTTGACATGGCACCAACACATCCAAAATATTATGACTGAATATGTTCGTTGGTAAACCATCGATTCCTGCTTCGGAGAGAGGAACATTCAGGCGACATGTCGGGCATCTCAAACGACCATTCTCCACGGCTTCCGTCAGGCACTTTTTACAACATGTATGTAAACACGGTAGAACTTTTGGATCTTCGAAGCCGTTATGACACAACGGGCAAGGCATCTTGTACGGCCCAGCAAGCTTATCCGAGCCCTCGGCCATTTCAGCGCTACAAAATAATCGCATTGAATCTGAGTAAACTGGGCGCAAGCCACAGTCTTTTTGAGTGCTCCTAAGGATTTATGCAATGGAATGATTTGCGATCTGTGAGCACATGTGATTTGATGCTCCCTGTTTCACTACACTGTGTTCATTCGCTGCGTCACTTTCATACACACGGTTCCTTTGAGCTCATAGCCGCCTTTGTTCCGGTTTAAAAACCGCCAATCACGTACGATCTTACTTGACTAGAAGGCGTGGCGCGAAAAAGCCTCACATGGCCATTTTATTCTCAACACCACTTAGCCGTCAATCAAAATTCGAGTTAACATGGTCACTGACCAATCAAAACTGCGTATTTACGATGCCTGCTGGCTGTAAATTACCAAAAACACAAGCATGTTACATCCAATTTAATGTAATTTCACACAATGGCCAGGGACGCAACAAACCTACGTGACAAGAATATTGCCCTTAACCTGGAACGCGCTGGTTTCAGCGCGATGTTTGGTTCTAGAACTGTCCTCCCGCGCATTCTTGTCTTCGTTCCATATTTTTATATCACTCATAAAGCGATGTGTAAGCAGCAAGTTGTGTTTAGAATAGGAACTAATTATATTTGACAAGAAAGATTCGTCAAGCATGTCATGTCATTCAAAACTAATCACCATTCACATTCAACAAGAAGGAAATCAACAACGGCCAACAGGTTGTTTTGCTGGCCGATTGCCAAGCATCTTTCGCCCGTTTCCGATGTAAACATTTCTGTGGTTTCCACTTGTTACGGGCCGGTGAGAGAGGCAAAGGGGTTTTTTCAGTCACTTGAAATTCGTTTTATATCTACATTCTTCTGCAAAGCTATGCAAATTTTGTGAACCACTTAAACGCCTCTTAAACACAAGAATGGCCAAAAAGTCGCGAGTTTGACATTTTGCATGCTCCAGGCATTTTTGGCGAGTTGATGTGCCCGTGAACAAAACTTCTTAATTGTGCTGACCTTTTCGTGTCAAATTTCAGTCATTCTTTTCACTGATTTCAGGTATAACAGCATTGTAATAGTTGTATTGAATAGCCACACAAGTTGACAAGAAGTTTACATGTATATATGCTAATGTAACCTTGTAATCACCTCAAGCTCACCACTCACAACTCTTTTGTCCAATGAAATCCGCGTAAGCGACAATTACTTGATTTTGTATTGTTCTCTACTTGTAGTGTGTATTTTAAGCTTTATCGGGAAACAAGAGATTTACCAGATATTCAGTACCGGAAATGGGGATTGACGTTCCAAAAAAATCACGTCGATCCTTGTTTCGAAAACTCACACCGACAGGATACAACTTTCATACCTTATGACCGAGAGAAATTATACAGCTAGAAATAGAGGATGCTTAAATTTTCGATTAGACATGAATCTGAATTGAAGCGAATGCGCCGTTGTCTGCGTGAATTTTGGCGATATCAGTTTCTGGGGATACGCGCCAGTTTTTTCGAGAAGAGTTTTTTACCAGCATGGTTTGACCTCTAAAAACCACGAGGTCAAATCTACATCCGCAAAACTCTTCTCTTTGCTCAAACCTGGGAAAATGAAATGCGGGCTCTGTGTTCAGGATTTGCAAGGTTAGTCTGAGGTTTCCACAGGGGGATTGTATTCTTTTCTCTTTTACTTTTCATTCAGGAGACTGAAATAAGCTACCGTTACATTTCAGATGTGAATGATGTCGTACGAAATTAAAAATACTTGTGGGGCATTATCATAAAACCAAATAAAACCAGATATCCAGTACGTTTATCTTTAAAACCGGTTTCAAGAATAGAAAAATATTAGATCAAACCCAAATGCAAATATACACAGAATCATAGATAGCTCTCTGCTTACAGTCAAAATCAAAACCGCTCGACAGCAAAAACCTCTACTCTAAGTCAATACGCTTTACAGGGTCACATTGATGTTTATATTAGGGCGACTTACAATTAAACGGTGATAAAAACTATTGCAAGAACGGCGCTGACGAGATTGTGAAGACCACAGGGGTTGTGGTTTCAAGGTCAAAACAGTTTTTTGTGGACGAGTCAACGAAGACGGTCAGTAAAAACACACAAGGGGTTTAACAAACGCGCCGAATCGACTACGATGAAAATAAAACCCGGCAAGAAGTATTACTGCGCTTATTAGAAATTTATGGGTATTTTAATATTCTTTTACTTCCGAGAGCTGTAAATCTGTGGAAAATTTAAAAATATAAATATCTTTGTTGAGAGACGAAGAGAGATACTAAGAGGTAAGCAAATCGCTGAAGGAAAAAAACTCGCTATCAAAGAGCTCAACAATAACTGCGAATTTTAAAAGAGTTTCGTCATAAATAAAACACTCGCAGTATTAATAGCACTGCACGCAAAGGGCAAAAAATCGAACTGTCCCAGAGAGTAACTCGCCAAAACAAGTAAAACGTTGTTGTTGTTTTTTTTTTTCGTCTCAAGTAAAACGAATCAAACAGGGCCTGATAGCAAGTTATCAGATAAATAACTTGGACGAAGTTATGTAATAACCTTTCTTTATATTGACCGCATGAGTTTTAAAAAATCAAGCCATCGATCTATGTCATAAATGCGCTCTCTTCGCCAAGTTTACCACCCGTTTGTTTCAAAAAGAGAGATCTAAAATGGAAACTCTCTTCTATGGACTTCCGGCAATTTAATTATCTGCCGAAGTGCTAACTCAAAACACTCTTGACTTGGACGTATGGAAAACTGACCTTAACAAATCCGAAACTCACAATGCTAAGAAACACTGCATTTTTTTTCCCTCTAGATGCACAACTTCAACGTTTATTTATTTCAAAAACAATGAAAAAACAAAGGTGAGAATTATTTGTACAGAGCATAGAAAAGCAAGCGCCAGTTAGAAATAATAAAGCCATAAATTATGGCGTGATGAGCAGATCTTGTTGTGACAGGAGAGGAAAATACGTGTTGCTCAGTCTTTTGAGATCCTTAAATGTCTTTACTCTTTACTCACTGTTTTAACCGATTTAGTCAAGAGTAGTTTTGACTCTTTAGAACGAAGCCAATGAATTAAAACTGAAAACGCTAATCCTCAAATATAAATGCAGCGCAAACTATGCGATAATCTACATGTTGCATGCTAGAAGCTCGAATTTACACGACTTTAATCAGGAGAGGACTAAGTTCTTATCCAAGACTACACATGTTTGTTTTGATTTTACGCCAACACCAAATGAAAAACATTTGGAGCGTTTGTTTTGGAAGTCAGAGAACTGTTTATGTTGGATCACGCCTCTTCCGTAATGCAAAGAAATCCCCTTATTGTTGCGACGTTTCTTTGTTGACGTAGATTGTGTAAACGAACCGCGCGATTTTGTTTTCGTAGCGTTATTAGATGGGATTGTATAACCGTTAAGTGAGAACTAGCGACAATTTTAACCGTCAGCAATCAAGGTTTTTAACTCACCGGGAATCTTTGATGAAATTTTGTTTGATCTTTGATTTTCGACGCAAAATCTGTGTGATAACTGAGATGCGAGCACCCACGTGGCACGTGCCGAGACGCCCATTGTAGTTTTCCATTTTTCAAAGAGTCAAGGTAAAGGCCACTTTGAGCCAAAAGAACGAGAATATTAAGGTCACTTATTCGATATTGAGTGATAATAGCGATGACAACGGCAAGGGTCAAGAAGGAATCAGATGATCACTCGATCATTGAATTATCCTGTAACACCTTTTTTTTCTGTACTAAAAACCAAGAGCCAAAAAAACCGTAACAAGACTAACCAGGGTTTCAGTCAGGTATTTCTTTCTGGCCTTGCAGAGAGCGAGTAAAAGAGTAAACACGCCAATTCTTTGAAGTTTTCCGTTCTCCTTTTTTTTTTTTTGATAAAATGTATCGGTATGTAGCGTCAATACCTGCCTTGAATAGCTTTCGCTAACTGTAGGGAGTGTGTATATAATATGTATTTCTTTGCGATAAATAACGTTGCTTATACGTTGTTGTAAATATATGAAATATTAGCCAAACAACTGAAACAATTTACACGAGACCACGAGTGCAGTGAAGCCTTTAGCACTGAGAGCAATCAGCGTTGGGAGTTAAACTGTAATATGTCCGTCCAGGTTAAATGACTGAAGAACGCTGCAGGATAGGGACAAAGTGTCCTATTTTGGAAGTTGTCCGTCCAGTAGAAGTCTCCGATAGCTGTTTAGAGAGAGTTGACGGCCGAACCTCAAGGAAACTGAGCCATGCAGCGAAATTCGCGAGCACTGTAACGATTTTCATGCGAGTGTACCCGCGTATTTCGCTCTCTGTTGTATTTAAGCTGTAAATATCATTAAAAGTTGGTGGTCCTCAGTTTTATTTAGCTTTATGGAGCCCCTGATTAAGGAAGTTTTGTCTAAACTAAATATTGGGAAATTACCCATGCATTTGGTTTTATATTTTATCAAGAGCCATAATAGGACCTATTATGGCTCTTGATTTTATCCAATGTTGGTCATCCTGGTCTGCATCAAGATCCGGCCCGGATATGATGACTGTCAAAGTGTTCCTTGCATTTGGAGTACATATGTAAGCTGTAGTCGGCTTGGTAATTATGAAAGAGGACTCTATACTTGATTCGCGCGAATAGTGCAGAACGATTCCGACCCCTTCTTTTCTTCTATAGCTTGCCGATAGACTACGAGTAGTCCCCCATTTTCCCTCAGGGATAGGAAAGCGAGCGAAACGCGAGCGCGCGTGAAAATCACCCCACGCAAGAAAAGGGGTGATTTTCACGCGCGCTCGCGTTTCGCTCGCGTTCCTATCCCTGAGGAAAAATGGGGGACTACGCGTAGTCTAGCTTGCCGGGTGCTTAGTGGTAGAGAGAGTAGGAATCTGATACGAAAACGGTGCAGAAAAACGGAAAGTCTGTTGGGTATTAGGCTACTCTTCTTTCTGACGCCTGCGACGTGAAGAATGAGGCTGAAAAGGTTATTGGTTACTTCCGTTTAAAGAGTACGAAAACTGGGAAGAA